ATGCATAATATTTTAAGCTAAATACATACATTTGTTTACGGGTGCAATATTGAGCAACGTTTGTTGAAAAAGCTAGTTAAATTTCGTTCAAGGTCGTAGCAATACCTGTTGCTGGGCTGCATTGCACCATTAAAGAAACGACTGGCAGTGAATGAAGTGAAGTAGAGGGAGATACGACCTCAACGCATCATTTAAACTTCCATTGAGTGCACACAGGCAAAACTAAAGTCGTTTTAATTGAAAAACCTTAAGATTCGCCAGTCTATAGCCTCGTTTGCAGCGCATGCACTCCTATTAATTTAAATCTAGATTTGAAATTTGTGGACTCGCTTACCACAAATACTTTTTACCCTGCAAGGGCTAAGTACTTATCGAATGGTGCTCACCAATTTAGCATAGTCTATCTGGAACGGTTTGATAATATTTGTCTCTAACAGAGATTAATGTGTACTGAAAAATCGGCATTTCACACGCCCTGTATTGCCATACGTAACATGCGCTGCCTGGACCAGCGATCCCTGGCCGTACATAATTAGCAAACGTAATGAAAGGAATAAACAGGTATGATATCAGAAAAGAGAAAGGCACTTTCTGGGCAAGCTGCTGCCTTCGGTACAAATTCGGGAATGCCAGCTTACGAACACGTTATAACCTAGGTTCAAAATCGAGGGTTAGCATCCGGCCCGCTTAATGTTACCAGCCAGTTGTTCGAATAACAGCACCCATCGTACAACTTGAAACATATATATAATCTCTTCCAATTGCGCTGTCGTCCCTTGCCTCACCTGTTCCGGTCGAGACCAAGCCATAAATCGAAAGATCCGCTCAGTTTATTTTTGGAGTTATCTGATAGTAAATTACGATACTATAGACAGAGATGCGAAGCGAGAAGATGTCTGGCTATCTAAGATTTCTTCCTCAGAAGATTCCGTCAATGGAATTTCCTACGAGAAAAGGTAAATAGTTCAGTTGCCATATATTTAGCTACCGAACACTATTATATGCCTATAGGAATATTCAGCAAAACAACAACAGGCTCCGGGTTTGCTGTCAGATGAGTCGTCCGTAAAGGAAATACATTGACCCCCTTGTTTGTACATCTTAAGGTAACCTCTAACAGTAAAAAGTTATGGAAAATATATTTTTCATTCATTGTGATTCACTAAACAGGTCCAATTAGCCCTCCCCTAAATAGCACTATCTCTATTCAGCGATAAATATCTTTAACATAACAAGATCCTATTAGTAAGTTTAAGTTGAGCTATGTAGATCTCCGCTCGTTATCGTCTAAGAAGAAGTGTTTGCTTTCATCTAATTTGAACCGTTCTAAAGGTGAACGAAGGTTGCAAACGAAGTTTTCTTTGTCTAAATGTAAAGCTTTGTAAGAGGACGATTTATAAGTGGAAAAAAATTTGGTCCTATAGGTGCCACAAGCCACAAAAAGCTTTTGGAGGTAATTTTTATAAAGATTATGTGTCCTAGACAGTAGTAATACGTGCGTGTAATATCTTTCTCGCTGACTGTACTCAGACTATACGACGTGCAAACAACGCTGTCTTATTTCTCATAATTTGTGTTTGTGCGTGCCGGCGTGTTTTTAGTACACCTCATGTCCAGTTAGATGCACGATGTACGCATAAAGCTAGCATTGTAAAATTGCTACTCCTTTGAGCAGAACGTGCTACGCTGTCATCAAGATACCACTAGGATGACGCGCTCTATGGGAGATGTGAAACAGTGAAAATATGTGCTCATTTTATTGCAGGATTTCCTATGCGACCTTGCAGTTAAGGGGCTGCCAGCGTTGAATCGGACAGAATAATGGGGTCAGTAAGGTGTTGAACCGCAGTTATCGTCAAGCGCAAGAATCAGACGTGACTTTTAAAGGGCGTTAAACACACTCCATTCCTATAGGGTCCTGCCCGATATAATCCATGGCATCTCTTGAGATACCCATTGATTCAGAAAAATCTGGCACTTTGAACGTTAAGAATGAAGCGTGACCGTGTATAGAGAGCTGGTAATGTTTTTTGAATCATTGCTAGAAGAAAAAAGCATGTAAAAAGTTTTTTTTGTGTGTATAGGGTCGTATTCAAATTATGTACACGTTTTTTTATGTTGTGATATCTATTTATATTATTCAGCTTGGAATATATACGAATGCTAACGCTGTATACAACTTACCGTAAGTCACATTTATTTTCCAAAAAAATATTCGATGTATTTTTTAAATAAAACAAGTCTACATAGTCATCCGTAAAATAATAAACAGATTTCGATATTGCTCCATTATGAAAAGTTGCTGTTATGTAAAAAAAAAAAAAAAAAATGGCGTTTGTCTGACGCATCTGTCTAAGAGCCATGTTGAATAATCATCTATTAAACAGGGCTATTGCAGTTGGTATTTTTCGAGCACACCACCTATACGTAAAGCAGAGAAATACACAATTACTGATTCTGCTGACCCAAACACTGAATGAAGTACTTAAACTTTTCGAAATTAAGAAAGGCAAACTAAGTCGAATAGTGCCGCTATCGGTCTTGGACCCCTTACGATATCTAACTTTGTTTATGTTTGATAAAGATCCACTAGGTCCACTAATATCATATATTAGAGATCGTTATAAAAAGATACTCAGCTTCTGAAAATAATAGTAAGAGTAATTTGAAGTTAGTTTAAATGACTCAGTACATAACCTTCCTGACCGCTTTTCGTTCCCTACAAACAAAGGTTGCTGCGTATATCAGAGTCGAACGAGTTCAGCTTTGACAGCAGCCGTTTCACTAATTCTGCGATCAAATGCGAGTCGCAGTCACAAAGTTCACTGGATTCAATACAGCGGCCTGGATCATCATCATTATTACAGCAGATTATGGTACTCATCAACCTGATTAGCTACACGGTCCTAATAATGCGTCTGGCGATGGTGGAACTTGTCTTTTTCAAACGTAACATTTAGCGCCTCTGTTTGACTGCTACGCTCAGCTTAGACCCCCGGCCGGCTTATTACCCCATGCCCCTTCCATCTTCTGCATCTCACTGCATCGGACTGATGAGCCTAAGTGCACGAACGAATCAGCGTCTCTGTGTAGATAGGGAACAACCGACCGATGAATTCGCTTTGCACGTAAGTGGGTAGCAAGTGAAATAGAGAAGGCTATTTCACATCTAGCAAGTTGTTAACGGCTCTCCCACTTGGATTTTAAGCCCTGTCTTTTTCTTTGTCCCTAACGGACCCCGCCTAACAACAGTACAAACGGTCCCCAAACTCAAACTCCTTCTGTGTCATTCTTATCTGACCTCCGTAAGCTTCTTTAATTCTTCTCAGTCAAGTTAGAACTCTGAACGGAAATCATTCCCTTGTTGCCACATCGTCGTTTGGCTAAGGCTAATGTGACCCTGGAGTCAACAGCGATCTCAGCCTGCGCCTCTGGCAATTCTTGGTGGATTATGTCGTAATGTATTATGCCTATGTTGCGATATTATCGTCGTTATTATCATTATCTGAGCAAGCGATAGAGAGAAACAGAAAGAAAATAAACCAAGGAACGATGTAAACAACAAAAAACTAACTGACTGTATTGACAAACTATCTTTCTCCCCCTACACCGGTCTGCGCGGTCATTTCTCTTGAAGAGGACTATGCGAGAACATTGGGTGAAATTACATAAACAAGAGCGTCCTAAGCTGCCTGGTGTATAATGGGAGGAACTAGGCCATGAGAAAAATGTCTTCAGCCTGCGGTTTTTAAACCGCAGGCTGAAGTCTTTTGTGGGTGAGAGGAGTTGAGTATACGGCTATGTGACAGATACTATTTTTCCTTTCTCTGATGAGGTTTCCCGGTAGAGTCTGCGTCAAGGAGGAGGCGTCTTCGTAGAAGCAAAAGATGGATCTTGAACCATATCCAAAACGGCCGGTGGATGAATTAGTTGATGCGACCGGGCGTGTTTAACTTGTAATAAGGATACTTTAACCGTTTTTATTCAAAACCAGTCATCGAGTATAGAATATAAGAAAAGAAACATGCAATAAATTCTACTACTTGAGCGCACTACATGCATGTTCTTAACGTAAAATAATAGTAGTCATTGTTATTAACAACAAATTGTCCCTTTTGTATGCTTGTGCGACACTTTGCACGAGCATCAACTTCATCTTATTAACGAAAAAAATATGTGTGAAAAAAACTTCGAAGTGATACTGCGTAATTTTCAGTTAGACGTTTTAGTATACGTTTTATGCTGGGCTTTGATCTTTCTGTCTGTGAAGTACCTTTACAACCTTTTACAACTTAAGTATAGAAAAGTGAATTAGGGAACAAACGGCGTTACCAAATATGTGAAGGTCATCTGCGCGTATTCTTGACAAAATGTCTTCGGTCTATAGGCATCTTAAGTGCAACATATAACGAAAGGATAATATAAAAGGGTAATCTTGGGATAAGTCTTCATAGTGTGAATGCACTTTTAATGTACTTCAAAAATGACGCGCTTCGACAGAAACGTGGAACCACTCAAATAGCTGGCACTCTTGCGGGATCTTAGCTCATTTTGAAATTTTACTCCAAGATCTCAACGGAAGAATATAAGATAATATGCTTCTTCAAAATGAAGTTGCAATGGAAAACAAATGGGAAGCATCTTAATATGAAAGGCTATGAATTCCCGATTAAATATAGTAATAAATGCAGAATATAGGACAAATATACTGCACAGTAAAAAAAAACTACAACGAAAAGCGTGAATTACTAAAAAATATCGGTTCTAGGAGGATAATAAAATATTACTTGGAATTATGGAATGAACTTAAATGAGACGAGTTTTTGCAACGAATTAAAGTTCGAGTATGGATTTGAAAACCACTGGCAGTGGTACTAAATTTCATCAACATTTTTTAAGGGACATATAGCTGTATAAACCAGTATATATACTAAAGAATTGGTGATTAGGTATAAGTTATTTATTGCCTGATTTAATCGTTTTGTCGTATTGTCTTGCAGATGTCAAGTATATTTTGGACAGCGTTATCGAAGAGCTACAAAAGGATCCAGAGCGACGTTTCATATATGTCGAAATGGCTTTTTTCACTAAATGGTGGAATGAACAAACAGCCATTATACAAAATATCGTCCGAGATCTCGTTCACTCAGGTACAGTGCTTATCAGTTTGCTAACGAGAAGGAAATCTGGGGTACGTTTAAAGCGGTTGTTGGTCTACATTGGCGTCTGCCCGACAGCTGCTCATCGATTGTCGAACGACCAGCTAAATTCGTGCAGCATGAACGATCCAAGTGATCCTTAGAAAAGCTACGCTCACGGTTGATATTAAGTCGAAAACTAGGAATTCACTATTTACTTTTCTTCGATCGAAGCTTCAACGAATATTGCCTCAGATGAGCTGATTTTATTGGCCTTCAAGACGTATTTAGTTCCATACAATAAAATCGGGGCTGGGCTGAATTCAAAGCCGTCCGATAATTCACCGCGGTCGAAAAGATGTTCAGTTTGCTACGAAAGCAGTGATCCTGCTAGCGATAAACTTATCTAAATTAGTCACCGCATGCTTTAATTATGCGGTAGGATAGATCGCCCGTTAGCCGTTGTGAGGAGACGATTACACTCAACTTACTTTACCCAACATGCTTTTTGACGAGTGGGTCAAAAATACAGGGCCGAATATTCTGCACCCATATTTCTAAATGCCCAACTCGAATATCGTATAACGTTTTGCTTGAGTTAGTATTGTTAGTATGGTGAGTTTGTTGCAGTGCGAAAACTTAATTTCGATTAGCGACGATAATTTTATAACCAAAGGGCAAACAACACTATGTGTAAATTTTTCAATACGAACGCGATTATCTGGATGTTTATAACACCAAGTGATTAAATAATTATATACTTAAAAGTATATTCATATATTATAATGAGCTTAAATTGTATATGTCAAAATGTTATAATCATGATAATAATATCAAAGCGATATCATTAATAACAATAGTTACATCGTGACAATTGCCTTCTGTGTGTGACTCTATTGCCGTTTTTTACACACATATTTTATTTATAAATTACATCTAAAACATAAACACACGTCTGCTCAGTTTACTAACCTTATTTTTAGCATAAAAGCAAATTGCGCATTCTATTTTATTGTCCATAAATATTCCCCCTTCCCCCCAAGCAATGTCGCTGTTGATTAGAACTCTAGCCTAGCTCTTCCGTGTATCTCTTCTAGCTATTCCGTCTATCTATTCTAATTCACGCATTCTACTACCTAGCGTCTATCTGGCGCGTCGCTGGTAAAGGCAAAAATTACAATGAGCCCATTTGCGATCATGATTTATGGACGGAGAACAAGCTCGAAGCGTTGATCGATATACAAAAAAATAACGACAACCCTAACTTTTTAGACGAAAGAAATACATCAATCGGGATGGGACAACGCTATATATATATATATATATATATATATATATATATATATATATATATATATATATATATATACCGGTAGAACTTTTTGGACAGTTTAAATATATGTACACACTGTGTATATATATATATATGTATAGACGCCCTATGGGATTAACCTAATTCTATGTTCGAACTAGATCTCGACTGAAGAGGAGGCACATATTGTAGAGTTTGAAAAAGGTTTCAATCGTGTACGCTTAGTTTCTTAGTTAGCAACCGCTGTATGAATTCAGCATCTGTCAGTAATTTTCGGATCAGAACTCCGACTCACTGTTTTTGCTTATCTCAGTCCACCAGCGTTTCTCCAATTCGGAGCTTTACTCCATTAGACACCGTTTACAACTGAGCAGTTGCAGCAAAAAAAGAACGAAGACGATTCAAGTCATGTTGGCCATCAGCTTTACGAGTGTAAGATTGTATCGTGATGGCTTAATACGATCAATGCTGCCGGTCACCTCATACAGCAGCTTACAATTGTGTACAACGTTATCGAGTCCTAGGTTCGTCCACCGGCCGCGTTGATGCTCGGCTCTAAAACGCCGTCATTATAGCTATCAGCAAACGTATCACTCTGTGGTACATATGGTCTAGCTGATCTTCGATGAAACTAAAAAATAACCACTTTTCAGGCAGCTGAATGTTACTTAATTTAGACATAATAGTACTTACGTTTTCACGTTACCTTGTTCAGAAATAAGCAAACGCACGAAAAATGTAGTGAGGTTTAAAGAAATCGATGAGCGGTATGTCTTATACCCTTCAGCTGAAAATCTTCTTTCTTAATAATGTTCTTACTGAAATAGAGCATGACTTTACCAATTTTGCCAGACTTTTACGGATACTGCCTGTGTGTTTTTCGTGACAATGTTGATTTACGTGGTTTAGTGTCTTTCAGAGGTTCCATCACTACTGCTGTTGATAACACCTTTCTACTGACTTCCTCCAATTCTTGACAGGATAAATTATTAACTCATGTTGTCAGGAGCCGTTAGCCGGGGAAGGTAGGACCTGAAACGCGACAAACCTCGTAGCGAGCAGAATCGCGAGAAGTCGAAAAGTATCCCCTTGCCCTATGCCTTCAGGTGGGGTGGAGCCTTGGGCCTCGTTTCGCCCTAATCCAAAGTAGAGATGTCGATAACGTAGTTTGTCCACGCTTCGAGAGGTTAATACAACGATATGAGTCCTGGATTGGCTACTATTATGATTACATAGAAAAGTGCGCTTTTTTATACGAGCACAAAAAAGAAATAGGAACACTCGAAAAGCGGGCCTAGCACATGAGACTTCTAATGGCCACAGGGCATTATTTAAATAGGGCTTGATTAAGATGGTTATAATATGGGTAGGTTTTTTAGAACCTATGGTTGTTTCTCATATATTTTGCATGGTCGTGAAATGACGAAAAGAGTATTTTTTAAAACTAGTTTAATTTTTTAACGGCGCAAATAATACCACAGGCCATATTATTGATTAGTAAACACCCCTGTGCGCATAGTGCACGATTTTTTTACTAACACATGCGTATGTATTGGGTTCTCGAAAAATATTGATCGTTTCTGTGGTAAAATTAAAGCTACTATTATTTATATTCATGTATAATATGACTAAACATTTTTATTGATGATTTTCTGCGATTTCTCTGGTACTATTCTAATCCTGTCCCTGTAGAAGTTTTTTTTTTAAGGTTTTTAGACGAATAATTGTGATAAGTGATATTTGTACTCTCTCACTGAAACGAAACCTAAATAGATTTTCATCTGACGGTGCGAAATCCGGGCTATAGGACGGAGGTATTAACTCTGTCCATGCAAATTTTTTCAATTCCTCTCGAATAACTTGTATGTAATCTAGCATTTGTGCTGTTCCCTTGTCCTGAGCAATCTGTTTCAACGGCTCGTTAGAATTCTGCGGATCAATCGTTTTGCCAAGTGGTAACGCTTCATAATGCACTCTTCCGTTTCAATCCTATCAAGCACAAAACATCTACTTCTTTGACACCGTCAGTCTGGACTTTCCAACAGATTGTTTTCCCACATTTTACTCACACATTATTATCATATGCGACCCACTTTTCATTACCAGTCATCAACCAGTTTTAATATGGTTCGATTCTGTTGCATTTCTGTAGAGTTTGTCTGACCAAGATGCCTCGACTTGTTTTTGTAACCGGCTTTATTTAAACTGACTTCATTATTTGCTGGTGAAAATCTAGTTCTTTGGCGGTAACATTTCTAGAAGCCGTATCGCCATGTCGGTCTTGCTCAGGCGACTGTTTCGCCGTCTTTTGCCGTTTGTTGGCCGACCTCTACGAGGAGCATCGTTCGCATGGAAATTTTTGGGCCACCTTCTTTAATAAAGCATCTTGAGTTTAAATAGTCAAAGTGTTACAGGTCTGGGCAGCCTTTTTTTTATGATAAACAATTGAAGAATATAGCAATATTTTTCAGAATTTCACTGTTCTTCAAGGCGTTCTGTGTCGGGTCTGAATACAAGCGTGCCAGAGATTCTAGTTCATCTACCTAGGCTAGCTGTCAATTTTCAAATGACCCAACGCGATCCATATCACCTGAGATGTGTAATTACAGCCAGGTAATTACAGAGATGGTCGATACTAAATTCGATAACCCTGTATGTCTACACGATTAAAGTGAGTTAACTAAACGCGTTATCGATATATGATTTCAACAAAGGTAACGACGAATCACTCAATAAATCGTTGTACCTTTATTTGAAGTAGAACGAGCATACTTCTATTAGGGTATGCGGAATTCGGGAAGAGTTATCGAACGTAAAATTTATGTATATACCTGTATAGGTTAATTTCTTCAGTCTCTCCACTTGCTCGTCACTAGATCACCTTCTTTTCAAATTTTTCATGACCTACGGCCCCATTCCGTGACGTAGAGTCAGATCGTTTTTGCGGCAAGCCGTGTTATACTACTAAGGCCGTCGACACCTCAGCCGTTCATCAATCATCGTAAGTGTGGATAATTTCTCTTTGAATCCAGCATTGTAGTTCTACCCCCGCCGATACTATGGCGTAATTTTTTGAATTGCTTTACAACAGTCGTCGCGAGGTTGTTGCGACGGTCGCCCTAACTGCGATGGATCGGACATGACTTCAACCCAGATAACACCCCGTATCTATATTCATAACAGTAGCAATATCGACAGCAATTACAAGATTCAAGAGATAAGGACGTAGCTACCAGATAAGCAGGACTAAGTAAGTAACACAGTAGAGACCGAATGAGCAAACGAGGAAAGAGTCTGGGGGGGGGGGGGGTCAGAAGGTACCATGCCGGCTATTGCCAGCACTGATTAGTCACGAGTGAGGGAATCACACTAATAAAAACGAAATTGTTATTGTATTTTTCGTTGCTACTTATCAACGGCACACGGGTGGATCAGTGTGTCTTGTTCCGTACCTGGTAGGACAATCATTCATATGTGAGCTTGCCAGTTGTTCTTACAAATAGGCACATAACGACGGAAAAAGGGAGCATAATATATGCTCATATGCTGCGACTGGAGTATGATACGGATAGAAAACTGGGCATGTCTAGGAAGAAAATAAATACGAATCTCTAAACAATTTCGCTTGCTATAATGCAAAATGAGATAGGTGGCTTAAAACGAAATTAGTGGTGAGTGAACGCGAAAAGCCGGAAAGGCACATGGACCTTAGTATGAAGCAAATATTACCTTGTACCATTGCATCCAATAAATCCCTAATCTGGGAGTTTTTAGGTCAAACTGTTCTCCATTCAAAAAGGTTGCAATTACTAATTTAAAACCCGTTCGGCGATAGTATTTATTAAAAATATTAAAAGATCAATAACTACATTACTACACTAGTACTCAGTTATCACATTTTCTGTAATGTGTCTTTGCGGTAGATTTTTCGAAGAAAAGTACATGGGAACCCATACCAATGACAGCGTTAGCCTCATCTAAATTATAATGACTTGCATAATCGTCAGCTCTTGTTCCTACGCATAGTAAACCATGTATGTCTCAGCTGATGGCGTAATCAGTAATTCTTCTGTCTAGATTTGTCTAGAAATATGTTTGCTTATATCCCGTCCCGTTTGTTCCAGGCCGTCTCGAGTTCATCTCAGGAGGTTGGTCTATGTCAGATGAGGCGGCTACGCATTACTCAGCTCTTATTGATGAGATGACCATAGGAACCCGCTGGCTTAATGACACGTTCGGAGCGTGCGGTCGTCCGAAGATCGGATGGCAAATAGATTCATTTGGACACTCTACAGAGCAAGCAGCGATCTTTCGAAAGGTAAGCTTCCACCTATTAGCAAAACTTGTTTATGACAATCCTGAACTATATCGATTATATAACACCAAAGCCGTACTTCAATTTAACTTTCCGTGAGCTGTTTAAACCCGCTAATTTCGATGTCATCCACTAATGCTTTGTATTAAGTAAAATTCTGACAGGTTTATCAGACGTAATGCATAATTTTTTTAAAACTAGGCCAAATGTATTTGATGTATAGATAACAAGCAGATTCCTCTAGTGGCGCTAGACAGGTTCAACTTTCTTTTTTTTATTGAAACATCCGGCCATACATTTTCTGCTTGTAGTCTGCTAAATACATTCACGCACGCACGCTCTCGGATGCTGCTCTAAGTCATTAAACATTGCCTAGTGCGCCTTTGCTATCAATAATAAATGTAACAATACTGGTGCAATCGGGTTGGTCCATTTTCTGCTTTCTCCTATTTTGTCGTGCAACTGGCTATAGCTGTCCGATACTGTGTTGTCCTTTCCAGCAGCGGTTATTAAACATGTTAAAATGAGAGGCCTTCAGGCTACTCCTTTGACCCAGTGTCCTTAAATAGTTGCTTGCCGTTCTTTGCGTCTGGAATCCATTGTTCTCCGCATGCACTTGGCAACTTCCCACGTGCTACGGGCGATCGTTACTAAATCAACCCCCAGGCCAGCACTGCTGAAGGCAGTAAGAGCAGTGGGATCGATTTTTCTGTATGGCCCTTGAAACCGTCTAAAACAAGCTCTTTTTGAGATCCCTTACGGCCGCTACCTCTTCTGTCAGTTTAAGCAGCTACACCCTACCACCTACTACCACCAGTGCTCCCGCGACGATTGTTTGGAGTCTTTACGTAGGAGGGTACGGGCTTTCATTCGGATATCTGCTGAGGCGAGCGGTTTAGCAATGCCCTTTGTTTGACATCGATTCACTTGTCTATGTCTTTATGGTAATGATGATGACATCAACATGATGACTATCATGCTGACAATGTTGGCCTCTTGTGGCAAAGGGGGGTTGGCTTGGTCCAGACACCCCAGTCGGCCCAAACGCAAGCGACACAGAAGGCGGTGGCATTCCTTCCAGCATTGCAAAAGCACATAATGGGGTCTTCACATGTTGGCTTTTCTTTACCGCTACGATGTCACTTGTCATGAGATAGATTTTGAAGCGGTGCGTTACTGAGCCCCAATCTCTTCGCTCGACTTGCCTATCCCGCTGATACTGCTGCTACTTGGCGCATCGATTTCTTTCCTGCTATATCTACTGCTCCGTAATCACCGTGACGATGAGGGAAAAACAGCATGCCCGGAACTGACCGGTGTTGTGTTGAAAAGGTTAGGGTGTATGCTGTGTACGTGGAATATTTGAGTGAGAGGCACACAATACACGTTGTTCCGTTTCGGCAGAACAGATGGGGCAACGAGTAAGGCAAGTTAACTTTGAGTACTGGATCTCGTTGGGTTTGTGGCAGCTTACTCTGCCTTCTCCGGGTGTGCTTTGCCAAACCCTCCCCTTTGCATCTAGCCTGCTCGTTATGTTTGCCGGTCGCGCTAGAGGAATTGCTTTCCTTGAATATTGTAGGAGCAAGGTGTGCTTTTTTTTGTTTTCGCTTTGGTCTCCATTATTCTGCGGTAAGACGCTTTCGCAGCGCTTTTCACTGCTCCCTAACATTCTGTTCCGTCTCTCGCAATTTACAAGTTACCGCAAGCTGAATACGAGAACACGGACATCCGTTAGTCAGGTGTCGATGTCTTGGAAGCCTTCGTTTGTTCGATTTCTTTTTCTGGGCGCTACCCTCCAATGGAGAACATGCCGTAGTCGTTTTTACCATGCAACTTTGTAGGACTTGCTTACGAGGTAAATTGTAACGTGCTACACCCAATTAATGATTCGGCTACTGGATCACGACTTGGCCATCGATGGCCAATGGCTTAAATGACCGCTATGCAGAGTTCCTAAATAGCAACAAGCGAAGTTCTACGAAATGGTAGGTGTAGTAAGCCATACTATTCGTACGTAGTTCGTAAGAATTCATTTGGCAGTGACGGCGTCCGTCACCTCGTGCCGTCCCCTGCGAAGTTCGTCGAAGCCTAGTTTTCGATTTCTTCATTATGTATATACATAGAGAAAGACTAATGGCATCACTGATTCGCCAGTTGTTCGAAATCTGCTCGAACCGAACGTGAATGGATCCGAATCTATTCGCTGGGTAACTCATTTGCTACGTCCTGAACAAAACGCTCTAGAGCAAACACAACTACGAAAATCACCCTCTCGGTTACCCTCTCCGCTGCTATTCATGGAAACAAGCGAGCGCAGAGCAGCTGCTAACAAAACGTATAAGAAACGTAAAATTTCGAAGCGGCTAAAGAGGAAGTGCGTTTTGGATATCGGAGAAGTTATATACTATACGCTTGTACGCAGATAGCATTGAATAGTCCTGTTTGATTGGCGTTTTTTTTCTGGTGCACTGTGTCAACCATTACAAATAGAACGGGTAAATAAAGGAGGATATACAAGACGATGGTCAAGGCTACATAATAAGCTGTTTGCTGAGATGCCCCGAATTACGGCTCCACTCTTGTGGTTACATAGATAAAATCGGATACAAAATTTCAATGAGATGCGTTTGATACAGTTAATCATGGTCGCGGTCGGCATGTTTACGACTTAGACGGAGAGTTATAGATATATGTGTTATTTTGCAACGCCTGGATGATCGTACGGTCTGATTTATAGCGTTGCGGCTATAAAGTTCCTGAAGCGTAATTCGTTAGCTGTTTAATGTTCTTTTATATTTGGGACAATGGATTCAGTAAGATTTTCAGAGCAAAAATGAAGAATAGAGGTTTAAGGCAATGGTGCGAGGAACGCTGACGACGGCCGTGAGCAAGCAATACATTTCCTAAAAATCGAATTTTGTGAATTGATGTTTTAAGATTTAGTGGGGATTTTAAATGGGTAAGCGATGAGTACAATGTTCTAATCTAAATGTAGACGTAAATGAGGTAGCAGATTTAAAAAGTAGCAGACTGCGGGCTTGAGATGTTACGTTTACGTGAGATTCGAAGTTTTTTTATACAAAGCTCGTTGCTTTTTCACAACAAAAAGCTCAGCGGTACTTCACGTGCTAGCCAACGAAATATTTACATTTTATAGCAGATATAAACGAATCTATCGACTGCCAGCTGTCGTTGCGCGTTTTATCCGTAACCAGTGACTAGAGTTTGAGAATGTATGCCAAGGGATTTATGAGCAGCGGTGAAAATACAAACACTGCTTTGCCAAACCGCCCCCACAGACAAAACGTAAGTCATCAGCAGAATCGTAGGGCACTGAAGATCGATTTATAACAAATGGCGCCAAGCTGATGGGTAAACTATCGATTCAGGAGGCAATAAAGTTGTTACCTAACATTTCAAAAACAGTATAATGTGTGTGCCTTTCCAACTTACCAGGTGTTCATAATCCGTTCGGAGGATTCCGAAGAGAAGCGTATGTGGTCAAAGCAGAATCCTACTTTCTAGCAATGCGGATTCCAAAGACAAATAATAAACGTTAGGAAAATAAATGTTTCATGGCGTTGCATAAACGTTTATGTCAGGGTAACCAATACATTGGACGTTCTTCAAGGTGGTCAGAAGTTTTAGAAAAATGATACAATCAAGATTGAGTTTATACTAGGTATTTGAGGTCCCGTTACGCTCTTGAGATAGTCATGTAGAGACGCTGTTGCATTAAATGCTTTGCACTTCATAAACGAGTCAAAAGTTACTGGGATTGGCATGCTTTAACTATATAAAAATATCGGAATATATCAATCCTGTGACCCTCGCTTTAAATTGGTTAATGGCTAACAGCCATTGTTAAATTAGACGTGGCCTGAACAAATCAACAGCCTTTGGATTTTTTTTAGAAGTTCGCAAGCCATCCGAAAGCAGTTCTTAGCAAAATTGTAAACGTTTGGTATTGCACAGAGCAGATTTCTGTAGGACTTCTAACTTCCTTACGCAGGATAATTGAACTTGTTTGTGAAGTCTTATATGGTACTTAATAGATATGCTTGGAGGCATCTTCTTGTATCCCAAGAACTATTGGATATGTTTAATGCAGTTTAGAGAAAAGGGCTCTCTGCGTGGATATCTATGAAGAGAACGTAGCCACATCATTGAAACATCGTTTTGTCCATTTTCGAAATATACGGTATCAATGAGTGCTGAACAGAAATTAAAGAGTCGTTTATACCACTTGAATATATCGGATCAACAGCTCTGAATATGGCAAAAAGGCGAGTATTATGAAAAATTGTAAAATGCTCTCTGAAGGTGTCCTTTCCGTAGATCTCGTTTGAAGTAGTTCAAACACTTTGAATAATGGGAGCTCCAGAGGACTAAGGGCCAGCCTTTAACAGGCAAGAGTCTAATTGTCACGTGATCGACTTCTCATCAAAACTTTTAATTTGTTACGAGAAATATTCAATGAAATTTTCACATTCCAACATATGCGCCGTCCTCTCTACTGTGCTTCGGGTTGACTAACAAATAGCAGCCATTTAATACTATTACTCATGGCAATCTGTATCGGGTACTTGCGAGCGTATGCTTTCGTTTAACTGATACTTGCAATACCTTATCAACACACCCAACATGATTTTTGCTGCAAAACGGTGGACGTAAATACATTATATAAATAGAGTAACATTCTAACGACAACACTAGCTAGTACACGATGAGAAATAATGCTCATGGGCCCTAGACAAGCTTCCCCTAAGTCCGATGGTGCGAGGCGGCCCAGTCAGTCCTTCAGCCCCTGAACCTTAATATGTGTAAGCAGCCTATGTTAGGGCACAGCCGGCTATTGTCACACGACATATGGACTAGAAGCATGTGCAAAAGTAAGGCGTATATAAACAGGTCGATCCTAATCTAAGTATACTTTCCACCTTCTTGTCACTATGTCGCTCATACTAAAGGTAACAAGGAACGTGAGATCACTCTGCCAAAATTGCCTGCCAAAAGTGTGGTAAAAAAAATAAATCACAAGAAGACCGAAGGCACAAAATCGTAGAATAGTGTCGATTATATAGAAGCCTCCTTATACTCACGTTGACGAAATAGCAGATGGTGGAAAAATAACTCTAGTCGCTCTTGATCTCGTTCTAGGAGTATGTTAGCCATCATGCGTGCCACATATGCAGTAGTTTGCCGCCGACCAATAATATGATACTTGAGAACTTCCACACAAATGTGTACATACCCATCACATACATATCCTTGACCCAATTGTATATCTCGCGCAAGAATCTTCTAGGCAATAAGCAATGGCTTCGCACTCGTGCTGGCCCTTCTTCGGATCGCTTTCTCGCTCACTATAGCTCGTTGCCTTCCAGCTTTCTCACAGATGTCCCCCTCATTCTTCCGCCTTTTACCTCTCTTCTGTTTACCTTGCCTTCTGTTCAAAGGGCAAAAAAGGCTCTTCCACAACATGAGATGGTGCCAACTCTCGCTGGTCAGCACCTGTTGTCATTGTCCTCGTAGTCGGCGCCATTAGCGTCATACGCATTATAGTGGTCATGGCAAAATAAAACGAACGAATGTTAGCAAAGCGGTTCGCTGCCTGCTCTCATTCAATTTAAAAATAACAAAAACACAGTCCAACATTATGTGTGTCAATTTTTTTTACACGGGGTTGTGAAAGTGATTACGAACAAGGAAAGCAATAGCATCACAAACAAGTGCCCCCATTCATGGATAAATAACGAAAACAGAACACACGTTTCTCGATATTTGAAACTGAGTGCGATTTCTATAGACTATGAATTACAGTGGTGAATGATAGTAGAAAAGTTTGATTGAACTCATATGAATCGTTTGGAAAAATGGTCCTCTATGGAGAAAAGAAGACTCGCATCTGTTAGCTATTTGCAATACGGCTAGCAGCAGCTAGATTGACTGCAGATAGGCGTGGCTACAATGGATACTCGTTCATTCTATTAATCGAGCAGTAAAGTTTGCCACGGATAGACGCTACTTGTAAGCAGCTCTTGGGGTGAAAAGTACCTACCTTTGTCTTCTCGAAATACATTATTAATATATAATGATAAATAATAATATAATTATAAATTATTCCAGACTAATATGATAATGCATATTTAAGATATAGATGGCTTACATGGGTCTATCTCTCGAAGACAGAAACACCACATTAATCCCAATGATACCTAACACATTCGCACTGAAGTAAAATTACTGTCAACTATCTTAATTATATATGAGTGCCTATATTACAAATGCAATCAACTCTATAAATATCCAGTGCACCGTTTTTCTATATATTTCATAGTGGACATTCGACATATTATTTAGCTTATACAGGTTAGTTTTCCCTTAGCCTCAACAAAATGTTGATAATAGGTCAGACCACATCAATATGCACTAATATGCATAAAATAAGACTGGAAACTCTTCAAAAATAAGGTTAACCAATGATTTCTCAAATATTTCATTATTATTTGAATTCTCAAGACAGCTTTTGTAGTTTGTGCCTACTACATTTTCCTTAATTAATGCATAAGGATTGATGTAAGTGGTTGTTTTTTACGTTTGATCTACCTTGTTCCCCCTTCCCTTCGCAAGTTAAGAACTTTCACTAGAGAACTTTTTATTTGCATATTACAAGCTCCCACAATTGATACAACCGAACGGAAAAAATCGGCCCAGTTCCTGATTCTCCCCGCCATTGAAGAGCCACGCTGCAAATTGTACGTTTATAACCGAAGTCCTTTTCAGTCAACAGACGGAATAACAAGCATAAGAACGACGCTTCCTTTTCCTCTGCCCCTTTTTCTTGTACCCCCCACCCATGGGGGGGATGACCCGCAAGCTGTGTAAGCACAGCAGGAGTGGGCGTGCCTAAATGTATTTCAAGTCGAGTTATTTATGTCGCCCGCTATCCCGACCGGTGGCTACGACGGCAGCATTGGATAATGCCAGCACCTGCAGGTGCGCCCGCAGCAGAGTTGAACAACCATTTCATAGACCTTGCCTGCCCCATGCCCTGAGAGGCTTTCACAAACACACGAAATCATACAAACGATGAAAAAAAGATGCACATATCATACGGCCAATTCATCCACTAGTCTTCATCCAGCAGCCTGATCTTCTGGCCAGTCGGTCACTCCGCCTGCCAGCGTTCAAGTCGTGTGGCACTTTTGCCGACTGGTCGAAAAAAGCCTTCGTTTTCTATAGCCACCCTTAACCTAGCGGTTCGCGCGGCTTCTAGAGGTATAAGGATTGGAGTACGGAAAGGAAGAAGGTGGAGGGACACATCATCCGCAGCTTGCCTATATAATGCATTCACGGCAATCTCACCGCTGCGTACCGTCTGGGACCTCCACGTCCTCTCTCTCTCTCAGTTCATATGCTTTCCTACGGCGAGCGCTCCTTTCTTCTTCGACTTCCTCGACTGAAGTCCAATAGTCAAAAGCGTTTTGGGCGCACTTGAGAGTTGCTGAAGGGAAGACAGTGATCATTATTGAGTGGAACAGTGGGTCCTAAGACAGCTGGTTCCGAAGCGCGCTGTTGCAGCGGCTACGAGCTTGGTGGTGGAGTCGATGGCCAACCAACGAAAAGCGTGATAGCCTCACCGGCGAGCTCAGCATCGCGGGCCACATCATGTAGAGAAAACCACGGTTTGGTTCGATAAAAATCGAAAATAGCCCTAGGGCCAGTAGAGAACAAACAAGAACAGGCCGCGATGTAATATGGCCGGCTGGAAATACAATACAGGATTTATAACGAGATCTCTTTCCATCTTGCGGCAGCAGCAGCAGCATTCTACCGGTCAAAAGTACGGTACGCACAAGAAGAGTGCTACTGATTTTGGTGGTGGTGAGGGGCCGGCAGCCGCGGGTAGACAGAAGATTAGACAACAAAGAGGAAAGGGGGAACCGAAGAGGAGAAAAGAATGAATGAAGGAATCAACCATGTTATGCATTTGCAGAGTTCCCATTTTATATACATACTTGCGTACTAGTTCCGCCGCCCGGAGACCATGTAAATAGGACTTCATTTCTACTTAAGTACTATCGAGGTACGTTAAAAGAGGCCGTCGAGAGGGTCGGAAGCATCGGAGAGTCGATGCCTGGCTGCTGCTGCTGCTGCTGTTGGATGATAGTATGGGCGTCTGCTGATTTTCAGGCCTGGTACACGACCTACCAGTGTGCGGCGAAGGCATAGCGGCTCCCTCGTCAACGGAGCTCGGGCCTTTCAGTCGCACCGCTCCTCTCCCACACCCTCTAACCTGTCCTTTCGTTGGCTGAGAGCCTGCACTCACTTATGTGATTGTGTACTAATAAAAAGACAGAAATTTAAGCCGTGCAGCTACAGTACATTGATATTAATTCTGAAAATGTCTGTTATCTATGTGTTTAATCGATTTGTTATCTTGCCATAACAATTTATTAGATAAATTTATATATATATATATTTAATTAAAATAGGAACGCAACCCTAGACAACAAGACTCTTTTTGTTCCTGTGATAACATTACAAGCGTCTTGGTTTTAGATTGATACAAACATTTCGTTGAACAACGCATATGGCAAAGCTTGTCCTGGGCAAGACCCTCTTAATTTTAAAATTTCTCCAAAAGAAACTCGCGTCGGTTTCATCTAAGCAGTGTGAGACACACAATTGAATGTCAAAATGTCGCTAGCCACTACTTTACCGACTATAGCAACTTTTACTTGATTTAGAAACTGTCAATCAAATTTATGTAGACAATGCTTTTTATTCTATTGATTTTTGAGGTTCTCAGCATACATAATATTGTGAAAGTTAGCTAAACAAAGAAGCTAACTTAACTTTGTGATGCGATGATAACACTTGGATGATTCCAGATGGGTTTTGACGGAATGTACCTGGGTCGAATTCACTACGAAGAGAAAGAATGGCGGGAGGAGCACCAGGAAATGGAGATGCTGTGGCAGACCGACCCAACTCAAGGCAAAGAAGGTCAAATCTTTGTTGGAGTCCTTCCAAACGTCTATTGGCCACCGAAAGGATTCTGTTTCGACATGTATTGCAATGACGAAGAAGTTACTGTAAGATTATCCAACGACATTAGCATTCACGTGTTAGAAATGTATTTATCAAATATATAGCCAAAGTCTAGAATTCAGGAACAAACGGAAAAAAGTTTGTATGTATTACAAGGTGAAAATATCCTTGCGTACCAAATACGTACGATTTTGCTGTGTTACGAATATAGAATTTACTAAACATTTTTTCCATTTTGCGCAAACTGGAATCTTGTACAGCATATCGTATTTTCAGATTAGAGTCTATTAGGCAAAGGACAATAGAGGGCAGTATCAAAGGCAAGTTTAAAAACTTGCTTTTTTTGAAAAAACTATGGTCAAAGATTGGTTTAGCAGCTAGCCACTCACGCAGAACTTCAATCGATATGCCTAAATTATGCCTTATATCATACGTAGAATATATTCGATGCATCTTTTTACTAATTTTGCCCTAAATATAATTTTCTACTGCATATATAATAGATAATCATTCTTTTGCCTAGAGAGACTAAATGCAATTCTGTTTGCTTTAGATGGAGCAAAATGAGACTGTGTTATTTTTTTTTGCTCGGATTGCAGCGGGTTACTAGAAGAGAAATGAATAAAAACAATTAGGGATATATATTAGGCCGTTACATGCGAATCTGGCGGACTTCTAAACTGAATAACTTTTGAACCACGCATCACTAGAATAAATATGGCTGGTAAATAGTTTTATTTTTTAAATCTGTCAATGAAAATCGTTCGAGTTTCCGAGTCCAGGAAAAATTACTTTAAACAAAATCTCCTAGTCTCGAGAATTAGTGGTCTAGTTTTTATTCTTTGAAGGACACAGCGCTGCAAGAATCCATCGAAGATGGATGAAGACATAAGGCAAGGAGGCTTTAAGCGAAAGCGAATATTTGAATAGCACAAACGTTACCAGAACGGAAGCTGGCGTGTTGAAGGTCAACAAGGAGGTAACCAGATGTCGGAGTCCAAAGGACAAAAACGCATTGTGGCAGTCTTTTCACGAAAACCGACCTTAAAGCCTAAGAGTTCTATCGGCCAAAATTAGCATGTAGCGTGTCACAGTGTTATGAGGCAAATATGAGTAAAAATGGGTCTCCTGTGAATTGACCCAGGCTAGTTGAAAATGTATGTAGCGTATTCCACGTGCAATTTGCGAGACCTTAGTCTAGAAAAACCCGTTTGAAGGATACGATCGTCATAAACGGCGCATGTTCCGATCTGTATCGTCGGTCGCAGAGAAAGCAGACGACGGAATGTCGTCGCCGTGGAGGTAGACCGAGTTCAGTGGCAGTGTTGGGTAGGTTTATATGTAAAATAGTGATCGTACTTGCAATAGACATCAAACGCATTTGCTACTATCAAATTCGCTGATAATGAAGCAGTGAATGCAGGCCGCTATTTCCAGTTCTCAAAGAGGCTCATGGAACGTTGGTACGGCAACCGAAACCACGCAGTCTGCTTATTTAATAACAACGCCAGACCTTATTGTGACCCCTTAATTATTTCCTGGATTGAGCAGAGATCTAACGTTAACTTTAATTCACATATTCTTCCGACTCTAAATCCGTGCGATTACTAGGTTTTTCCTACCCTAAAAAGGACAACCGGTGAGCAAGGATATTTTGGTATCGATTTATTTCGGGAAACCCTAGATAGAAAAATTACATGAGAGCGCGGATGAACAGCTGGTGAAGTGTCTAAGAATATGTGGTTTTGGACCAGTGGCTTCTTTCTGACTGTAGATGGGTAATTATCATATAGGAAAGGTAGCCCACCAGAACGAAGGTGGTAAGTGAGTGAAACAAAAAGTGCAACTGTACGACTCCGCAAGAAGAAAACGGATCGATTTCGAGCGCCCATGTGGGTGGGCGGCAACTGATCGCGGTCGATCCCGGTGTTCCTTCTCGAATCATTCACGTCCGGTCGAACGAGCATCGGCGGCCCATAGTTCCAACAAGACGAAGGTCAGTTAAGCAAATGTATTAGACCAAAGCAGGAGAGGGGAGAGAGAAATCTACACAGAAGCCTAGTGAGGAGGAAGACAGACGAGGAATGACTTTGGGGAAACTTATCAGGTCGTGAAGAACCAGTGTAATAGAGAGATCAAGCCAATTAGGCCTGCCTTTGATCGAACGGGTCAATTTTGAACAGGTAGGATCGGAAGGAGTTAAAAACAAGGTGGTGCAAAGGAGATCGGGTACGATCAGTATTGTTGCTGCCGCTACTCGAATAGAGGTAATAAAATTAGTGCAGCAGGGACATGGAGTCTTCTCTGACGCTTGGACCAGCATTTTTTTGTATTGTCCTGCGTTGTCAATATGTACTACTACCTCCACGCCACAGCCCCATTCCCCTTGAATTCCACATCGAATGTTATAGGTTAATTTCACACTCCGAACCAAAGTCTCTTTGTCGCCTTAAGTAACATTTAGGAAACGATAGATGGCGAGGGGAGGTCCCTAAGATAAAGACGCACTACATAAAAAACTGGGATAAAGTTATACTGGCGAACGAGCATTGTTAATGGCACTATTCACTTAATGGTGGCCATAATCAAATGGTCATAACCAGACTTCCCCGTAATCATGCATTCCTTCAGCCTCGTATCGTTGATGGGCAGCGTTTTAGATCCTTTTACAACACCTCAAGAACTGAACAAAAAAGTTGTGGACAGTGACTCGCCGGCCGTAAAAATATTCACGCAAATTTCTCATTATTAGCTGCTGTTTTATAATATTACCGTTAACCTCTCAGTTGCTACATGATCTATAGGTTCTTCTGCGATGAGCGTTAGCCTAAACATACCGTTGCGTTGAGAAAATCGTTTTCTGTTACAGACCACCACACGGCGGAATTGATATTGTTCTTGGACTGGTAGACCCGTTTGTGTTTGCGAAGAACAAAAATAATAGAGAAATACTTGAAATTTTCGCTTGAATTTGCCCATTATGATTAATGAATGTTTTGTGCTGGGAGCCAGTCAGCCATTCGATGGATTGCCTAACGACGATATCGGACATAATACTTGAAACGTAGAGGTTCGAAAATCCTGTTCCCGTGATAGCATAATGAATAGTGTATTTGGCGCGCTGAACCTGAAAGACACGTGATGGTGTGGAGTAGAAGCCAGCTATCTGATGAAACGTCTAACAGCAATACCGGACGTAATACTTGAAACATAGAAGGTAATCAGCTAGAGATGGAATATCCACTTGTTCTGATGCCATACAGTTCTGTTGCTTTTCATAATTGCAGACGAGGTATACTCATTTACAGCTTCGGTTGTCCCTAATTTTTATATGCTCCATTTTTACACACCTTTAAGTTCACGTTCCCAACAATAGGCCGAGATTGTCGTCGTCACATGAGTTTTTTATACGAAGTTCGCCTTGATGCAGCTATGTCGGTATCCGAGGGATAGCTTGATCCATGAGGAACGGTACGAGGAGTTTACCTTTCTACAAACATCGTACCACCCATTGCGTCGGCAATCTGTTAGAGAGTCGGCCCCATTTTGGCTGTGGTATATACAGAAGAATTTTTACATGTCCTTGCCCAGTCGCCAAAAACAAGGCAGCTCTTGCGACATCGTAAAATCCAGGACGTCTTCTTCTATATGTTATTACCCACTGCAGAAAATGTTAGCGGTAATGATAAACAAGCTATGGTTTTCAACCCTGAAATAAGGTTTCAATCTCAAGTTCACTGTGTGTGTGTACGGCTCGTGATTTAAACACGGGACGAGTGTTTTTAATTCTTTCAAAATATCTGTAAAATGTTTAAAAAGTTGTAAAAACACTATTGACTAATGAGCATTGCTTTAGCTTGAAGGCAAGGTTCTTATCTTTACCGCGTAGCGTTGTAGCAGATTGCTTTATAAAATGTATTGGCTAGCTGTATACGTGTTTAAAATTAGAGTAACTAGTTGGATTCACTATATACTGAGAAGTGTGATTCCATGTTCCTGCAAAGTTTAGGAGAACGTTTCCTATTTTCTGTATTGGCTTTCAGAACAATAATGGACGTCGGCGAGCACAGGAGTTACTCGCCATAGCGCGCAACCAGGCACGAAATTACCAAACTAATAATACAGTATTTACTATGGGTCTTGATTTTCACTATCAGGACGCTAATAAATGGTTCCGCAATCTAGATAAATTGATCTATTACATAAATCAAGAGCCTGGAGTCAACGCGTTCTATTCAACACCTTCCTGCTACACAAAGGTGATAACCGAGTGATTTTGTGTGTTCGATTCAAAATGTACTACTTATATATTGGCATTCCTTAAACAGAGGTATTAATCCGCCGATAATACTTAATCGACTGGTACGAGTGCAGTTGTTGGGGATTTCTTTTTGGGGAATAAAGTTAACCGTAACCATTATATGCTTTTTTAATCTCATAGGCCCTATACGACTCTAAAAAGGTATGGAGTGTTCACAAGGACGACTTCTTCCCGTATGCGGATGGTCCTCATGCTTACTGGACCGGCTATTTTACTTCGAGGCCTAATTTCAAGTTTTTCAGCCGTGAGCAGAATGGTTTCCTGCAGGCGTGCCGTCAGCTGGAGGTTTTTGGACGAACACGCAGTAACCAAAAGCATATGGATCTCGGTACGGGTAGAAATCATTCGACAACTATTATCAAACTTACAATCATGTATTGGGTTAAAAAGGAAGTTCGCGTTCTTTAGCCACTTGAATTTATGGTAACTCTGGAAAAGAATGAATACATCTTAATCGAAGTAGTTTTACAGCTGACTATTTTTTGGGCAGCTAGTGTATCCCATGATAGAAAAGGTTTCGTCCTTTCGGGCTATACACGAGTGAGTTGTAGAGTTCTCCGTTAAAAGTCCGTTAGCGCCCGCTGGATCACCAAAGCAGCATGCGATATAGCGTTGCGCTAAAGCCATGTTAGTTTAGGTCGCCCTTTACTAGTTCAAAGCAATTTTTTAATCAATTTCTTGGCTTAGATGGACGAGTTGATTTGTGATGGTGTCCTGTACTTTTGCCTAAGGCTTGAGTAGTTCATAATATAACATTTCTTTGTGATCCCACCGTATACAGAGGTGAAGCTTTCAACTTTGAACTTCATTTCTCCGTAGCGTCGAATGGGAGAATGTCCGGAGTTCAACCATTCTAATATTCGTTTAGGAGTGGCGTAAAAAATCCATCCTCGGAGCCATTAGTCGTTCCATTTGAAATTTTCGGTTCTGAGACCGTTCCTAAATAGTCTGATGGTCATCTATGTTCTTTCCTCCGTTCATGCTTGCTAGAGTTCTTTAGCTCAAGTTCTTTAGCCACGTAGTTTATGGCAATTCAATTGTATTCCGTTTGTTTAATTCTGCCCAAATTGCAATTAACTTCGCCGTTGTTCCCGCACTTTAAATGTTTATTCCGTCGGTGCTTGTGCCACGTCCAGCGAATAACAAATGTGGGGACCCTCTATTTAGGCCGTCCGCCCCTTTCCAGTATCTGTATCCAGAGAGGCGCAGATTAGCCGTGATGCATGAGTTGCGCTGTGCTGCTGTCGACAAAACCCACACGGGACGCAGCCCAATGAAAAAGATGACCAGGCCATTTGAAGACGTTCACGAGGATTTATTCCCTTCATGCGTCTTTTTAACTTCCTTGTGACGAAGTCCAGGCAAGTTTTTCTCCACCTCGAAAGTACCTAGAAGGTTTCCGTTCGTACTGAAATAAGGAATCATAAACAAGCAGATTATTACAACAAATGAACGCCGGCGCCGCTGCTTCTGCTGCTGCTGCTGCTGCTGCTGCTGGTGACAAACACGAAGCAAAACCAAAATCGACTTCGTAGTTCGGTATTTGTATCATACGATTACGAAAACCCGAGTAAGGTTCATCGTGGTTTCGTCTCTTTAAAATCGCTAGTATTTTTTTCTGCCTTTTACAGTCCCTGCGTTTTGGCCCTTAGTGTGTGCTTCTCTTAGCTGGTCAGCCTGACCTAAACCCAGTACTTTTTGAATATTGCTGGTTTCTGGCGGTCCTTTGTTTGGCCAGCTTCGTAAAAGCTCTGCTCCAGCATACTATATCGAACTCAATACAAAACAGCTTCACAGAAAGTAAAGAAGAACACCGTAGATAATGTTAAGACCTCTTATGTGCCTGATCATTATCGTGATTCCGTATGACCGGTTAAAGCCGCAGCTGAATCTAGTTCGCTTTTCAAGACTACGTGAATAAAGCTTCAGTCGGAGGAGCTGATATCTAACTAAGGTTCCATGCATATGATACTTAGCGATGACCCTATATCCGAATCTAAATGTATAAAAGCTATCGTATCTAATTGGAAAAAGCTCCAAAACTTTTCCCTATATCGTAGTTCTTCTAACCGACATCCTGCTAAGATTTCGGTGAAGGAATCGAAAAATATTAAGGGCATGCCGATTTGAAAGCGTCTGATATTTTGGAAGGGACACAAACGGAGCATTGGCTTCTATATGCTGATCCCTTTTGTTCGTTACCGTAATACATCAGTCTGACATGTTTTCCTTAGTTTGTTCAACAATTGTTCGGACATGGATTACTATACCTTTCGGATCTATTTGTATGAGGTGCCAACGCAACTGTTAGAAATGTGGCATCTCGTTCGGTACGCGTGTATATAGTGGTTTCGTTAACACGAAAGCTACATAACTCGTAGGCATCTTTCCTTTCTTTAGTAGATCAATACCATGCTACACTTTCGCTGTGATTTGTAATTTCTGTGGTCGATTTCAAGCGACCTTCAAATCCCTCACATATATATAAATTATAATAATAAGCTTAATTAAAAAGATTGTCACTCGGCTTTTGCCTGTATCTAACCATGATATCATAGTTGAAAAATACCAAAATCATGTTTTATGGTTGTTGCGATGACACCCGACGCAGTTGCTTGGACAGTGGTCAAGCATCTGGTTGAAAAAGACCGGAAGGTTTTCCGTAATATTTTTATAGCGTATCATTAAACGGGGTTACCAGGGCATTGGTCTCACCAATGAGACACTTCACACCATTAGCGGAAAATTATCTTCACTACAGGATCTCACGCTGGGCATCACATAGAGATAACTTCATTGTGTACATTTCTGAGACACCGGTGCTGGGGCTTATGGTGTTGTATGAAGTATGAAATCTACGAAAACGAAGTTACTTAAAATATTGTCGGTGCTAATATCATTAAATACATCTTTGTATTTGGGCGATGTTGGCAACTTTAGAAAAATAGATCATCTGAATACAATCACGTGTTATAGGTAATTTAATTAGTCAATGAAAACTGGTACCTCAAATCGTGTGTAGTCTGCATTATTCTTGAAATAAACTGAAATCAATAGTGTTTCTACTTACAATCAAAGATATCTTCATTTCGACGACAGCTGCTACCATATTGCTATACAGAAAGGTATATTTACGATTTACCCAGGTTTACATACTGTATCATAGTTAGATCAATGGATAATCCAAACATGAAGAACGATCTGTGAAGTAACACATCTGTTTACCTTCGATTTCAGCACGAGCGTTAGGCGTTATCCAGCATCACGATGGAATATCGTAAGTGCACCTAACTTTGCTATATTTGATCGACGTGTGCTATCCTCTGATTTCGCGTGTATTTAGATTCAATATCATCAGAAACTTCGTGCCGCTTTCGAATGTTCGAACCTATGTAGACGCGATTAGGGCGATATTGCGAGATCGGCAAGTGTTTAGACCGGGCCCAGATACCGTTAAATGATCCTTACTTCAAACTGACGATGGTCGATGTGATCGTATACGAAGAAATTAACATCCCTGGAGAAGTTCCATGATACTGGAAAGGCCAAATCATTTTTCCTCCTCCTCGCAAACAGGTCAAACAATTGAATCCGAATTGAATACTCACCTGAATTCAAACACAATCTAAATACTTTAACATCGTATATTCATTTAGTCCTTTTTCTCTGCTATGAGTTCTCGAATGGTCATCAGTTTATTTTCATGGGGCTTATGTTATACTACCTAGGCTCTTAACGTTTCGGCGGTTGAAGTTATTAGTGGAATTATATCGAGGTGCCTATCGCTGGTGATCTCATCAGGGCTTATGAACGTTCGGCAAATGAATATGAGATAGTGTTAATATTCTGTCCAAAAGGCATTCGAGTAGAACCCACTATCAAGCATTGTCTAGCCACTTTTGTTTTCGCCGAGGTTACAAATCAATCATGGTGCCGCTTCCGCCACCGTCAGCCGCGAACCGGGAGAAGTGTGCCCGTACCACGAACCCCACACCTTCCCCCCCGTTTGTAGCGGATTGAGGTTTGCGTCAGTAGAACCATATGCTGTCACATTGGTTCAATACCAAGCATAGTAATCCATGTAACTCGAACGTCTGTTCAGAGTGGAGCACTAGCAAATGCAGATGGCCAACTTGTCAATGTTGGATGGAACGAAAGTTTTTTTGGATACTAACCTCGGTTAACTTAACGATTGATACATGACATGCAAATGATGAAATATTGAGAACTACCGCACTCGCTATTATCTCATCTAGTTAATACGCCCGTTCGAGAGATAGGAAGAATAGAATGCATAGATAACTTATTCATTTTAGATAACTTTTGAATTTCCAACAGTTTTCCACACCTTACGTAACGCTTTCTCTTCCGTACGTTAGTGGTACTAGTAATGGTTTTACAATTGATTATTTATCATTCTTATTACCTCCCACTAACACAGGCTACTAAATGCTACCATTAAGGTACCCAAGTAAATATTAACTTTTACTAATAGTGTGCCTTTGTTTCTACATATATGTGACGTCCATTCTGACCTTTTTCCAAATTGTAATCCGGCCACTTTTTCGTTGTTCAGAACAAAGAGCAACGCAGACGTGATCACGTCCATTTGCGTTTTTGTCTAGCGTTGACAGATTTTAACTTGATAACGTTGACCTTTGGTTAGTTACCTACAATGAATATAAAGGTGTTAAATATAATAAGTATTATATAATAAATATAATGTCGCACGTACTTACTCAAGGTAAAGAGAGCGGTACCGGTAAGGTGACTCACCTGCACAAGTAAAATATCAACAGTATTCTGCTGAATATATCGCCAGTCGCTGTGTAGTCGCCATTGAAAGCCCAATAGCGTTACGAAGTTTGTATGAAAAAATCTGCTCTCTGGGACTGTTCTTTGCGGTTCGCACTTTTGCTTCGACGCGCTGTTTTGTTAGTTTCCAATATCTAGGCTTTACTTTAGCGCTTGAACTCAGAAATTCCAGGATGCGCCCTAGAATGCAAAGTAGCGCGTACGTCTGACAGGCTACCGTAGCCCTTACCGAGACGCAGTTCGGTGCTTTTAGCACGAAGCGTCAGTTTCTTCTTTTCGAAGTGACGTTGAACCAGTAGCATCAACGATCTGGTATCGTAACATTGTTGCTGTTTTGAAAATCTCGAACGCGTAAACCTTCGCTGTGTGCCCTTCATTGGGAAGAAAACTGGCATTTGCCTTTAGCCCGGTTAGGTGCCCTAGCGGCAAGCATGACACGCCGTCTCTCGCGTTGCGAAACCTTCTGAACCTACGCCGCTTCGTACTATGCCCATTTCGTGCTTGACGTGCAAGGCACGCCGTCAGGCAACATATTGGCACCAACAGGCCACATAAGTGGCTTGTCGCTAAATTCCAGGTCCTTTGAGTTGGAAACAAGGCTTCGGTCACACGTGCTACATCAGAAGGGCTGCTAAACAGGAATTACTGAAGTTGCGAAGTGACGGCGATTGCGTTCCACCCAAGTCCTTTAAACTAGGGTGGGCTAAGGGGCCAATGATCTTTCGTGGAGCCGAGCGGACACCTAGTTGTGGTACGTTCCCGCCATGTTTATAGCCCACAAAGACTAGCCCAGGTGCACAGTTACGCGCTCCATAGCACACTTTCCTGCAGCGTTTCCTACAATATGCTAGAATATCTGTAGTGCCGGCAGCCTACATGTGGGTGCTTCGTATTTAGCAACGTTCGTATAGCGTAGTAGCCTAATGGGTTCCAATATTGACTACGACAGTTTATGGTTTTTGTACTAATGCTGTTAGGGTGCACACAAATAGCTTGCCGATTGCGTTTATGAATCTAGAACAGTAGTACGTTTCGAAGACTTAGTGATCATCTTTCGTTTCTAGATATAACGAAATAATAATTACTTGCCGAAAAAGCTTAGATTAAAATAAGATATTTAGCTCTTGACGCCGAACGACATTATAGACCCATAGCAGCATGCGAGACCAGGAGCACTGCTCCTATGTAGACATTCGAAACGCTGTAAAATCAACCTTTGTCCTGCATTCAATAGAACTGTTAGTGCGTCTGAATGGGACCTAATGCGCGTATATACCAGCATCGATACAGGATGGTGCTCAAACGACTGGAGATAGAATTCAGTAAAGCTCGATTTTTTTTAAATAGGTCCTTATATTGGTCGGGAGTGTGCGGTAGGGAGTTGGACAGGTGTTGCGAGAATACGTGTATTACATACTAATACGATGCAGAATATACTGTCTGTTAATATCCCCTTTTCATCACTTGGAATATTCGTTGCAGTTTTGTAAGAGCTAATTTCAGTGAGTGTATTTCTAAAATCTGGATCATTGATTAACTGTCTATTATGGCGGCACAATACTACCGTTGATATTATTAAATACTAAGGTAGAGCATATAGATATATATCTGTATCTAAACACACTATAATGAAAGATAATGAACTATATATATATATATATATATCACTTATTTAGTAACATTGCGGTCCGTTAGCATTCCCGCATCTGGACTAGCTCTAGTAATAATTATAGGTTCCGGTTCGTTAAACATTTTTGCTGTTTGGTAGAGAGAGGTCTGTTCTCTACGTCCCATTGCATCCCAGATCGCGGAATGCCTCTGGATCGCTTTCAGGACAATTCGCAGCTTAGATTAGGCTTGCCTTAACCACGCATTTGAACCGTTTTTCACCAGGTAAAGTACGATTTTGGTCCGTTTTCTAATCATATGGAAGTCTGTGGAAATGGAAACACAAAGTATCCGCCGGCTGCATGTGTTTCCCGTTAGTATAGCATTCTTTCCTTCTTTGTCACAGAAATTGAGCGGCAGATGAATGATGACGCGCCAGTTACTAAGGCTCAACTGCAATTTTTCTCTAGCGTCGTCGCATATACAATAGCGTATTTTGGTTGCCCCTCGTACGACTAAAATTAAATTAATTAACATTATATTATTAGAGGCCAATTGCAATGAATATTTCCTACGTAAATAGAAAGGCATGAATGATAAACATGGGAAAGATATATGTACAACGTTACAGTCTCAGTGAACTTGTGGGCAATTAACAAGGTACAATAAGATAAGCTGATTTTCATGCCGGATAATAAATGACTGTTAAATTCGCGTATTTTTGTTGTAAAATTCAACTTTTACCTAGTTTTAGCTATATACAATGCCATGGTACAGAGAATTGTCTTTTTACTTTGTACTTTTTAGAACCTATTAGCATTGCATTGCAATAACTTCAACGTCAATCCAGTGTAGCTCATTCTGTGTTCGTCCAAACATATAATAAAGCCGAGGTAGTAAAGTATTTGCTATACTTTGCCGCATTTTATAGTGAGACAAACTTGTACCTGGTCATAGCATCAACTTGTCAGATCATGTCATGTCCTCGTGAAAAAAGAAATGTGTTGCGAAAAACTGCTACACAAAGTGCAATCATGGGCCCTATTCGTGAAAGCCAAGCACATAATTAGCGTCTATTCAACACCTGTCAGCGAGGCTCATATGCAGATTAAGCGTCTGCTAGCGCAGTGGCTCTGTTGTATTTACATTCGGAAAATTCGAAGTAAATAACTGTCTTTTTGTTGTCTGCTATTTTGGCGAAATGACAGTTTCGATCAGTACTTATTGACTGTTTAGTACTAAGGAAAAATAAATTATCTATAATCGTTCGAATCGATTAGAAAATAATCTTTAGCACCGGCTTGTTTTATCCGATTTAAATACAGCTTGACTTTGGGATAGATCGACTACCTTTGCCACTTCATGTCAATAAGACCAGGTCATATTAGTCCCAAAAATTGTGTTTATCCCTAGCCGTTACATTATCGTCTTATATATCCATACAGACGCTCGAGTTTCAGGGCATGAAACTTGTCCTGACGATTGCTATAACGAAACGATGTCCCTATAACGAAAATATGTCTACTTTTATCTATTTACAGTACTGGAAGTCCAAATTTTCGTGTATGTTCGGCCCAACACGATCCCTCAAGGACTGGACTGATCTTTGCGGATGGTTAGAGTTCCCTTCTAGGAAGATGGCTTCTACTGGGCAAATACTCTTACGGCTAGGGATAAAAGTTTGTTTCTCCACTAAAACATAACGCAAATTTGGTTGGCCCTAGACCGGGACCAGTAGGTCAATTTTCTTATTTTCCACGTTTGAAAAAAGCCGCGCCACCTTTTAAAATCACCTGTATGTCTACAAGTATCAGCCGCGCTGATACATCGGTAAAGTTATAGATGTATAGTTCTGCGAAAGTTGTGTTGCGTGAACGAGTGTGCCTAACTTATGTTGTAAGAAAAACTTATACTGCGCAGAAGCGTATTGCCATTATGGTATTGGGTTATATGTATTAAAAATTGCTGCTATTCGACGTTTACCTTTATGAGAAATGTAGTTAGCCCTTACACATAAAAAGATAGCAATAATAAAATAGCAAAACAGGCACGGGGCCTACGGGTGACGCTCTAGCATATAATAATGCGTGCTTCCAACGTGCTCGTCGAGAGTAATCAAAGGACGCGTCGCAACATATAATTCTGTTAACAAATGCCAAAATCCGTTTTACTCTCCTTGGTTTTTCTTATAAGACACATAGCTCTTAAGGAAATATTTTTGCTGCTAGTTCTTGCAGAGCTCATGTTAAACATCAATGTTTCTCTCGCCATCAGACATACGGTTGTTCGTTTACGCAGACGAAACTGACCATTGATAAAGACGTATTGCTTTCGGCCTAGCCGGCTTACGGGATCATACAATTACAGATTGTAGGTAACGCGTGCGTTTACTAAATACGTATACTACATACCTAAAGGAAATAATCGATCTTGCGAACTTTAGCGACGAAGTCTGATACTATGCAGAGCGGGCTCGGCACACGTAAGGGCACGAACTTCTGTATCGGTGGGAAAAACGTGCACGAAAATTTGAATTGACTGGGAAAAATATCGGAACATGTAGGCGTATATCTGAGTGAACGGAACCAAACGCAATGGATATTGCTTAGTCGCTGAAGACTCAGATATCAACGAAATTGGCATCGCCGACAATCACTCTGACGGTATACGCCAGAAAGCGACTCATTCCGTCAATCATCGGTCGAAACGAGAGGAAAGACTCCCAGAGGTTTCTCTCATGTCTTACTGCACCGCATGTGTCATGTAGTGGCGAGGAGTGCTGACGTCTAATTCGATTGTGCTAAATTTGCAGGACGTCATAGACGTGGCATGCAGTAATAACTGTATAATTTTGCCTAGCAATAATGTGTACGTGGGTGTTTTAGCGAAAGGTTCTATATCGTAAAATTTCGAACCTACCAGCGCAAATATGGCGTAATAGACAAAATGTAATACTGTGCCGCCCATGTATGTTGTATTGAAAATGTACGTAAAAATGAAAGGACTCTGTTGATAGGAGCGCTCGCTACATTGGCATTCAGGCTATCTTACAGCCGCTGAGAGCTGTTGTGAGGTGTTCAGAAACTTTAATGCACTTATGCCTTTTCCTGTTTCAATTACAAGTGACACAAGCCACTTATTATTTTCAGAGGAACAGAAAAACAACATGTGGTCGAAGATTACGTGCGGATGACCCTGGTCGGAACTAAACAGTGCGAGGTACGTACCCATACGCGATAATTACGCTTAGTTAAGTTATCGTTTATCGATGTAGGAAACATCTAAGAGAGGAAGAGTTTCATAAAAAAGAAGTGTTATCTTCCGCAACTATTTATCTCATTAAGAAATGATAATTCTATAATCGTATGTGCGGTTCAAAAGGATGCATCCCTAAGAAGATTTATTTACTGGTTGTGGTTGCTTTCGGGATCGATGATATCAACTGTTTGAATCATATTGTTTGGACTTACCAGCTTTAGCTAAATTAACCGCTAATGGGTACAAATGGGCGGAACCTAATGTTCTAAGCTAACAAGCGCACCACTCATTTGCATCTTCTCCCACACCCTAATAGTTAGTGGCAAACAATCAATATCGGTCAAACTATCTACTTATCATAGCACACCCCCACTGAATTTCGTAACGAGTGACCACATAGAAATGCGCCTACAACAGAATCTGCAAAAGGAATAAATGGGTTCTGCTTGTAATTACCATATTTCTAGTAACTAGCACCACCATTAGTTCGATTGAATTTTCCTTTTTCTCGGATCATCTACCCCACTTCATCGTGAATTCATTCGCTCGTCTTCTCTTGTGAACCCCGAAACAAACTGTTCAGGTTCCGCACCTGAGTCGACAGTGGTCCCTTCGACCAGTCTGGTGGGTTCTCGCAGGTACGGACTTGATTGAAGCGGCGACATAAAAGGACAACTGCGACCTTTTTATTCGGCCTTCAAGCTTGATGGGTACCCTTTTCCCAGCACCTATGAAAAGGAAGAATTAGACACTAATTCGATACGTTAACGAACGCTTTGGTTTCATTGGGACGAAGATGCGCGACGTAATCGCTCAGTTGCCCTCTATTTGCCAGTCTTGCCAAGGGTTTTGATGGCAAGCTTTCCTAATGGGGATTTCGTAATACTGGTTTTCTGCTTTGCATCTAAACATAAACGGTCCATCCCGAGATGACAATAGTTTTTGATTTCAAGACCGCCGCTGGATGTTCGAATCAGGTCGAATATGCCGTCGAATTCGGGAATATTATTAGCTAATGGATGACATACGTTTTGAATGTTCTTTTAGAATTTTATAGGCCCATTCATCAATGAAACTACGAGAACTACATATAAAATATATGTGCTATATTCAAAATTCCCACACATGTTTACTGTTTAGGTATATACCCAAATTCGAAGTGACTCATACCAATAAACGTAAGGTATTGATGGGTAGTAGATTATACAAACTATATGATCCGTTTTCAAACCCTACATTTTATTAGTGCATATTAGACCCGTGTTCAGGTCTGTAGATTACACTGTTTCCCTATCAGCGGATGGTCGTCCTCATCGAGATGCTGAAAGTATGATCGAGTCGAATCGAATCAGGTCAAACGACGATCGAAATTGTTATAATAAACGTCTTCATATAAAATAAGATAGAAGTATATACGGCCCACGCTATTATATAGAACTAACGAGCTTTTAAGAAGATAATTTTGTTGAACACGTCTGCCTACACAACAAGTGACCGCCCCGTACACAGAAGTTTGCTTATGCCATTGCTTCATGTGACAAATCTGCTACCCAATAATCTACCTAATCGAATAAGAACAACGCTTCTTAACATACGGCTTACAATCTCTCGATGTTGAGTCAAGGTAGCGGCTTGTCGTCAGGCGTATCTACGACTCGTTCTCGCAGGAGGACGGAACTTTGGAAAAACGAAAACTAATAGTCTTGATCTCTCCAAATTGCAAGAGGTCGCCGTGATGTGCCTTACTTCGTCCAAATACCACTTTTCTTTTTTATGTAACTCTTCTCTGAAGCACTAACGATTGCAGGCAGTGAAAGTACATCTGCATTGAGCTGATACACAAGTTTAAACACGATAGTACCGATGGGCTGAATTTGCGTTACAATTGCGTTTAATTAATAAGCTAATTATCTAGAAGCCATGTGCGTCAATTGACAATAGGTGGACTTCAAATAATAAACGAGTTTATCATACTGAATTATAACATGAAATTACTCAGATCTGCCAGACTTCCTATTCTGTACGGTCGAAGTAATGCGGACTTTCTTTGTAGCAAACATCCTATAATATACTCGCTCACACGGCAGAAAAGTTTCGTAATTTAATGACAGAAAATATTTTTCTACATGTTTTCTGTAAATTAGGGTCATAAAATACATTAGAAAAACACATTTGCTCAAACAGTGCGTCCTACTGAATCTTGATCTTTGTTCCAGGCTCAGATGAGTGAAGCATTCCAAAATCTGCTCGATCCTGATTCCGATAGTACCCTTGTTCGATTTTCATTTTGTCCGTGGTTGAACGTGAGCGCCTGCGACGTGTCAGAGAAGGCGAAGGATTATTATCTCATTGTCTACAACCCGTACACGAAACCATTGAAGACCTATGCTAGGTAGGACTGTGGTTAAACAAAAAACGGTAAAACTGCAAACTGCAAAACGGTTAACTTACTCAGTTTTGCTAAAATATTTGCATGCCTACCTGTCTGTCCATCCTCAACCCCCTTATGAGATTTCTTGTGGCCGAGTAGAACATTGGGACCGCTGTGCTCAGGGCTGTACGGGCTATCGATAATGTGCGTAAACTCAAGCGCACTTCTGTCACAGTAATCGTTATGAATAGCACCAATCCAGGCAGATGAGGTTAGAGAAGCAATGTCTTCCTAATGCTAGGTGTACCGTTACCTTGACCTTTCTTAGCTCAGTGCGGGTACGTATACGGGGGTTAGCTTAAGATTTAGGATGATTTTCACCCTTGTTCATGTGTCGCTTCTGACAGGCTGCCTGTGGAACATGCAGGCTACCAAGTTTTGGAACAACCTCGACGCGCTGTTCCGTTGCAAATGGTTCCCGTAGATGACGGTACTATTCGGATTCCCGAACGCCGTTCGGTCGCCCGTCAGAGCCTGGTCTTCCCGATACAGGCTCCGCCTATGGGTGCTCGGGTCTACAAGGTACCTTTATGCGTTCTATTATCGTTGCACGACATCAGCTGAAGGCCTATTATTTAAATCATGTTACATACTTGCGTCACATAACTAAACATGTATATGTAGGAGCTGCGGATGTAAGTTTCTTTCACATGTGCATGGATTACAGGTGGAAGCGGTTGAAGGAGGCGTACGAGACTCCGGTGATTCTGTGCTACTGCCGGTTGATTTGGATGAATACTCGATAGAAAATGAATTCTACAAGTTGATCGTAGATCCCACCAAGGGACTGATAAGCACGGTCGTTCTGAAGCGTCTTAATACGCAGATGCCTTTCCGACAATCTATCTGGAAATATTATGCCTACCAGGTTGGTTGTAATATAAAGTTATCAATCAGCCTTTTATTCCAAGCATACAATGGATCGAAACTAATAACAGTTATCGTCTCTACTCATTGCGATGACCGTTAGGTCACAATCCCTGTGATAGTGCAATATTTGTCTACTAGAGGGAGGGCTAACAAACTCTGGGCATAGTCACATTTTGTCTCCTATCTGAAGTAATGCTTAAGGGTTTACATATCGGATACTTGAAAGATATAATTTTGTTTTCTTATAAAACTGTGATGATCGCCATTATTTCTCAAAAATGTGTTATTTTATTCCTGACCAAAGAATACACTACAGTAAAAAGTTGTACGAGGCAAAAAGTTATAAAACTGCATTCGACTTGAACTTAATCGCCATTGCTTCCCAGAATCAGGCCCCAAAATCTCTACCTTTCCACACCCAATTGCTAATACAATCGAGGAAAATCCTTTACGTTGTATTTACATTAGGCGCGAGATAGTAAGCTTTGCCACGGCTTATTCTTTCCGTTCATTCTACCGTTTGATTCTGCTTTTCTTTCTTTGTATCCTGTACGTTATGACATTTCTTGCCATCGCTTACGTATTTCGCTGACGCCCACCGCGTTCCATGATCCGTAGCTGTACATAGTAGACCACCCGGCTTCGGTACATATTACCAAGATGTTTCATCCGCATGGATGGTAAAAAAGACGTTGACTGTGGGGAATGTTAGCAATATAGTGCTTATTGCAGAAGCCAGCCTTGTTTTCACAACAATATTGCCACAAAAGGAGGAATGGTTTCAACGGAAACACGTTTTGTCTGCAAGCTTTAGGTAGGACACAGGTTAGATGCATGTATGTTAGATGGCGGGAGTAGACACGATGCCCGCCGGGTTAGGGGGCTAACAGGCGCCCAATGCCCCCTCTAACAGTGGTGTCGGACGCAAAGGCCAATAGAGTTATATACCCAGCAGACGCTAAGGATACGAACGAAACGCAACACGAGTCTAGTTAAAAGCCGTAACAATAAATAAAGTTGGTTACATGCCTTACGAGCGACTCTGTCCATAGGCTTCACTTCGTGGAGTTGCATTTTTTACACTGACGTCATGTACATGTGCGGGGTACGTCGAAACCATGAACGCACACTGACAGAATAGAGCAGCAGGAACGCTATCGTACGGTCTATGGTTGTGGGTTCACAGTCAATGTGCACCCTTAGGCGGACGCTAAGCGCCTTGTAATTAACTGCGACTTATCTGCTTAGCAGTCGCTTTTATCTCGAAAGTGCTGCTTGAGTATGCTGCAGACAATGTAAAATCTTTAACTCTTCAAGGGGGTTACACTAGACAGGTCTGCTTATTTTTAGACCACATGCAGATATACTCTTGCAGGGCTAATGTTCGTCTGCGTAAGAGAAATCGATTTTGTGTTAATTCACTTTTAATCCGAGCCTTTGGCAAGGTTTAGAGTAACTGTACATTTATTCTGTTAATGCTTCTTTGATAATTTTCAAACCTTAAGCTGTAAAATGAGTAGTGTAAAATGGGCTGTAAAAATGGGTATGTTATGCCAATAATATTTTCATTATGCGAACGTCCATATTAGCTAGAACAAGATTAATTACGCGCCTCGGTTTACATAAATTTTACGTTTGCTTATCTTTCCTAACCACATCCCTATTTACCGAATCGAATTTACAGCTTTACTTATATTCACATGGTTCAGCTCTTGGTAAGGTACATATTGTACGACTGTTAAGTTTTTCATTGGATAACCGTTCAATTCAGACGCCTTCCTCGATGCACTCTCTTTATATATATATATATATACACATATATTTTTCATAGATAGCAGTCTATAACCTATACTCCCATCGAAGCTGCCAAGGGACGCTGAAGCCATCGCAATGACATGAATCCAGATCGTATCGAAATATACGCACCTGTATTTATTTGTGCGAGCCTACGTTGGCGTGATATAGGTCGGACTAGGTCAGACCAGATAGCCTGCAGAGTTGCAAAGTAGGCAGACTGTACGTAGCTTATCGAACTAGAGCGCGACTTGTTCGGTACAAGCCGTGACACAATTATGGGAATGTGATTCATTGTTGCAAGATGACAAAGGGACATAGAATCGATAGGAGAGAAAGATTATCGTGATTTATTATTATTATTATAGTAGATTTTTGTATACGCACCAAGAACGGGTAGGGCCAAGTATGGTTCACGCATCATTAAACAATATATGAAAACTTTAAATATGTACCTAATTTTTGAGCACACTCGTACATTGGCCGAGCTAATTCGTTATATTCGGCACGCTGCTGGTTTATAGAAAATAATAACGACATATTTTACGTGTATATCTACTGAAACAAATGTAGCATAGACGCAAGCGCATTTATACCGAAATTTCTATTCAGAGACACAATGTTCACACGGCTTCACATCAATTTCCACAAATTGCTATGTTTTTCTTCGATTTAAGGACTAAGTGCTCCCCTATATTGAGTCTTGTTCCCTTGTGGAAAAAACACTGTCGGCAACGCGCGCCTAACTCTGCTAACGAGTGAGAATGCGACTCTCGGTCGATAATATGTAACGTAGAGCTATAAACGCCTCTGCCATGTTCGACTCGAAAGCGCTCACGACATAGACATCATACAACGACCATTCGTTCACGCCAGTGAACGGATCCTAAATCAATAATGATCCTTCCGCAGGCCCACCTACAGAAACCTTGTTACGACTTTTACTTCATTTAAATGATCAAGTTTGATCTTTATTGCAATATAGATACGTACAAAGTACATGCCCGTCTACTCTGATGACCTCACTAAACCATTCAATAGGTAGTAGTGACGTGTACAAAATGCAAGGACGTAATGAGTACTGGCTATGACTAGCACTTAACACTGGAAATTCCTCGTTCCGGGGGCACAATTGCACATCCCCTAGCCCCATTAAAAAAAAAAACATTCAAAGATTACCAGCTTCGTTAAAGACTGGGAAACTCGTTTTGTCTTTCAATGTAGCGTGCGTGCAGCCCCGAACACCTAAGGGCATTATAGACCCGCTATTATTCTGTTATCAAGTGTTAAACACACTTGATCCCCTTAAAGAACCTCACCGAAGAGAAGATTCTGGGTGTTATTTAATAGGTTAGAGTCTCGTTCGTTATCAGGATTAATCCGGCAAATCACTCCACCAACTAAGAATGGTCATGCGCCACCATCTACCAAATCAAGAAAGAGCCATCAATCTGTCAGTCCTTCTGGTGTCAGGACCATAACATATATATAAAAATATATATGATGTCGGCGAGGCCTAGTAATTAAAATCTGAATTGTTACGTTGCAGTACTCAATGAACTGGAGTGTCGAAAAGCCCTCAGGAGCGTACGCGTTTAATCCATTTGAGGATAATCCGACCGATATGGCGCACAACGTGCCATTCCGTGTCGTCAAAGGCGCTTTGGTGGAAGAAATCCATCAGGTCTTTGACTCATGGGCGACTCAAGTGATCCGACTATATCGAAATGAGGATCGAATCGAATTTGACTGGACAGTAGGACCTATTCCATTCTAGTGAGTATCCTAACTAGAGTAAGTGCCTTAACTGTAGTAACTGTTTAATTTTTTTGTCTATATGAACAAGGTGCGCTGCCTAGTGAGGTAGGAGTAAATAATAACCGCAAGGCTCTTCATTAGTATTCCACTGTATGAAAATAGGGCGCCCTGCTAATGGCGAAAGCCCCTTTAAAACGACCATGGTCGCCGATCAGGTGCAGTCCAAAGGCACCGATATCTTCTGCAAATAGGATCTGACGTTGTATAGTCCGAGTGTATAGATACGCTCATAACCACGTTCTATGTCGAGCGTACGGCTTTATAGAGAAAAACCCAGCAAGCAAGTTTAGCATAGCAGACACTCAAAATTTTTACTCAGACTCTTGCTTGTATAATCATAATGGTTTGTCTTGTTTGGATAATATTGGTAAAAACAAAGGAACTGCGAACTTGTATGAATAATGTGATTAAAAAATTCCATACAAAAACAACCTTATGGGAATATGGATATGATATATCATCAAGTTCGTAAGGGGTCGACTAGGTTACATGCGTAAAAACCTCCCATAAGGAAGATGTATACCATCTTCATATGGTTAGAATGAGTTCAGTATAAGAAAAGCATTTTGATTTGATCGTAGCAAGACAACTTTAAAACGTTCTCTCTTTCCACCCACATCTATAGGGCAGGCATGTGGACATACATATTCGTTTGCTCCTAGAAACCAAAATGGCGGAGTTGTATTTTCGCCTTTCGCACTCGGTATGATTCTATACACATACATGAAAAGACAAAATTCCTTTGGTCTTACCTTTTACGAGCTGCCGTCATGCCCCTGCAGAGGAACAGGGCAGGCGTGGACGTTCCGAAGCGTCCATCCCGCAAATTAGCCACGCATACACAGAGACAGGCAATACAGGCGTGTTGTCTGGTGAGCAAAACGATGCATTCGAAGAAGTCTGCAAACGGAGATAAGAAACAACGGTGAACGGGTTCCCCCAAAAAGCGATAAATCGATCACAGGACCGCCACTGTCGACCTCGACAAGGCAGATCTTTCGGCAAAACGAAGAAGTCTTTTAGTCTCGCTTTGACTCTGTTAAGTGCCTGTACGCTAACGAGACAGGAGAATGGTGGTGAAAGCACAGGGATTATGGAAACTCCACCTGGACGGCAGTAATGGACGACGTTCGAGGCAGCCTACAAACCGAGAGAAGGCGCCAAAGCCACCTACAGATCCCGTGGAGAGTGAACAAGCAGCGGGTACTCAGAGGGGCGGGGGTCTCCTTGCTTGCTATTTGCGTGTCGAGCCGTGCGCTTCAGAAATTGCTCGGGAATTTCACACTCTCCACTAACGGTACCTTTGGTTTCTATGGCCATTGCTACTGTCACCAGTGTGAATTTATGCTGTGTGGCATAACCCCAGTTTCCGGAGTCGAATCGAAGCCGCTGTTTTCAGCGGCTAAGCAAATTAAATAGGTGACGTAGCAATATTCGAGAAAAACATTGTCATACGATTCCTTTTATCGTAATAGAACGAAACAAAGAGCTTTCAGCTAACTCGTAAGGCAAACTCCAAGAAAACGCGCTAGTCGATACATAGGAAAGATTGTTTTGTTTCGGGTGACGTGGTGAATCAATTAACAGATTCACACATCTACACAGATATAAACACACACATCTTCTCCTTGGGTAGTTGTCATATTAACACGAGAACCGCGAAATTGCAGTGATGATCGAGGCAGTTTTGGTAAGGAGATCATACTTCGTTTCGAATCAAATCTAATCAACCGTGGCGAGTTCTACACCGACTCGAACGGACGTCAGGACATCAAGCGAATGTAAGTCACAGCGAAGTATTTCTTCATTTGTCACGTTTTCACATATACATAGATTCGTTGTTACTTCTACTAGTTAATCTACGTGAAGTACACTATGTATATATGATTATGTCTAACTCATTAATAGATGGGGTCACATGTATACTTTGTATGTGCCATTTACTTGTTGTTTTTCCGTCCGTTTCGCCAATAAGCCGCAATAATCCTCGTCCTTGGCATCAGAACCTGACCGAACCGATAGCTTCGAACTACTACCCTGTCGTGTCCTGGATTCATCTGCAAGATAAACGCAGGAACATTCAAATGACTATGGTACCCGATCGGCCAATGGGGGGCAGCAGCCTTAAGGACGGAATGCTTGAACTCATGGTGTGTGCTACAATCAATATGACACTAAACGTTTTTATAATAAAGTTAATAGAACAATACTAGGCTAAACAAATTTGCGTTTCGTTAAATTAAATCAGAAGTTATGGAGACTAGTTTGGAGTTTGTGTCTTTTCACGGTAAGCACACATCTACATAGTCCCCTAAGGAGTCCCGTTCTAAAATAATGAACCACTCCTGCTCCATTACAGGTGCACCGTCGCCTTCAGTACGACGATGGCTTTGGGGTCGAGGAACCTTTAGACGAGCTGGGGGTCGACCGACAAGGTCTGATCGCCAAAGGCAAGATCTATGTAACATTTGACGAGATTGCCAGGGCTCAACGCCGAATGAAGCACCTGGCAAACAGGGTAGGCTATTAATTAGGCTTCAATATGTTTATATATGTCGTTATTTAAAAACATTTCGTTTTTTATCCTTTAAAGAAAAAGGATTACATATATTAGGCTATTCAACTCAAAGCTGTCCAACTTGAAATAATCTTTATAACTTTTGAGTTAAAAAAGATGAGGATAATTGCAAGTACTATGAGGGTCAACACCTCGAAAACTAGAATTGTATCGCGTCATCGTAAAGGCATCACTAATTTACTGGCACTTTCAATTCCGTCCACGGTTCCTAGATCGGCGTAAGACAATACTTGCACTGCCTTATATGCCACCTGTTTAGGAGTCTCTAAAGAAACTTGGAATGTATAGAAAAATCTGTTCCTTTATTACTGGCTGGCATTTAACACTGGAGCTTTGCGTTTTCGCGGCCACTGTCATCATCACATTAGGTCATAGCCAAGGGAGTCACAATGTACACGAACTTTTATCTCATGGCAATTACAGTGTGCCTCAGTCTTTCTTAAACAGTTTAGACGGGTCATCGTTCATTAAAAATGGAATGTGCTAGATAAGTTCCTTATTGGACAAGGACTGAAAATATGGGGTAGCGATTTGCATGGGGGTCCTTCATACGCAGTGCGTTCGTAATTACAATACGTAACTCACAGTACAAAAACGGCCTTAATGGATAGCCTAAATTTGAAACTTCATTTAGCCCAAAAGATTTTCAAGACTTCCAGACTAGTTCATCAGTCGTACAAGTTCATGTGGGCTTTTTGTCTTGATATCTTCGGCATCAATATCTTTCCACCTAAATCACTGACATTAGAATTGTACCACGCATCTAGCTACTTACGATTGATGAATTACCAGTTACATTAGCTTTCAATGCTGCTATGCAAAGCTGAAATAGCTTTAAAGAAACACAAGCTTTGACTTTGGACCGTAAATGTGTATCTCGCTGTAAAATCAACGCTATTCACTTAGGTAAAAGCCAACCATTTGCCCTCAAAATATTAGCTTCTAGGTGAACGTATTTGCAGAAATTAGAGCACATTAAAGCAACACAAGTCTGAATAGAGCAATTACTACGAAGGAAAAGATGATTTAAGTTCTCAAGAACTAACCGAAGGTGGCGAAGTAATCTTAGTCGTTATGAAAGGAACAAAAAGATGACTGATGTTACCTTGAAGTGGTACGTATACATCCGTTGTGTAAGCTTGCATGATCTGTGTATGTGCTAAGTTAGAACGTATGTTCTAATAATGTTTTTTCATTCAATACTACTTGACTCCTATCGAATATTCTGACTGCAGCAAGTTTATAGACCCGTGTTAAGTTTCTTGCGGCTTTTCGCGGATGGACAACACGTGGCCGAAATGCGAAACCCAATTTTTATGGGAATCACACGCTCGTTGCCGGATAGCATACACATTCTCACCGTTGAGCCCCTAGACAATCGACAACTTCTCGTGCGTATTGAATACATGCACGACTCCGGTCCGCCGGTTACGATCGATCTGTCGGTAAGTCAATCGAATCATAGCTTATGATTCATAATGGACACGATTTAGAAGGACCCGTTGACTGTCGCCAGAACCCGCCAGCACCTGCGTCTATACTATATTGTTGTTCCCTGTTGATAATAAACAAAAAATGACAATGATTAAGAACAATAGGCTTTTTGCGAGTATTGATATTGAAAGGCTTCGGTCTCGTGTGAAGGCAAGTAGGATTAGAATCGGCTATAATATGGCGTTCCTGTTTTGCAATCCAGAACCACCATAACAATCTGTCCGTTTGATTTTCTTGGTTTTCGGATATGTCGCAGCGATTGTTCACGACGATCCAGGTGTACGCAGCGGAGGAGACGGTGTTATCAGCTAACCAGTATTTAGGAGATTCCGTACCTTTTCATTGGTACAGCAAAGAGCCCGTGGAGCCGAAGACTCAACCGGCTGAGACCGAGTTACAGAAAGTCTTGCTACCCGGTGACATTCGGACGTTCCTTCTGACAACATCATACTAACAATGATGAAACGAGTTATAATAAGCAATCGGTTAATAATACTTTTCGTTTATCAACAACCCGATGGTTATACGAAAAATGTAACTTTACAAGTTTATGCAAATATCGAATCGACAACAAGGCCTGGTTAATGAAAAATTTATTTTATTTAAAAATTGCTATTATTATTATTATTATTAGCCATCAATGAAATAAACTGTAAAAAATAAAAATGTAAAATGCAATTGACAGAAACGGATTAACGAATAGCGACAGTCTCAGGTTTGGCTGCGTGATGATTTCACACGAAGATCAGACATGAAGATTTTACGCGGGAAAAAATATCACAAAAAAAAGGCATGCGTTACTTATGCATATGAGATGTACTAACGGAGAACGACCTATCATGACCAAAAGTGACATCTAAACCCAAACGCATTTTTGAAAACCAAGTGAAAAAAGTTTGTACCTCTACTTTATATTTTAGCGAAAGGGGACACGGTCATTATGTTGAAATGGATCCCGTGTCTTATGAAGAGGTGTTTCTCACTTGGGACGAATCATAAATCCTTCCAACTGTAGGACGCAAAGTGGGAAAGGCCTAACGCAAACAGGAAAGAGACACGGAAAGCTGCAATATGAGTGAGTAGGCAGTCAAGCCGACAACGAGGGTAGAGCATGCGAAAGCTAGTCAGTCCGTTACAGGCGAACGTCAGCGCCAAACTTCGGGCAGAGTTTGTAATAACGTCAATGCGGTTATGCTAACCACGATCGTGACAGAAAGATTAGTTCCAAACAATCATTAAATAATAAATTGAATGACCGCTTTTGTTTCTTTAGCGGATGTTATATTTATGAAAAATAAATGTATATTTATCCGTAGGATGCACTGTCATTTTTTATTGGTAAAAAGTATATTTGTTGTAACTAGCGGGGAACAATTTTTGATGTACGGCCAGTGTCCAGAACAAATTGCTTAATAACAGTAGTTTCCTTCGGCAAATATAGATCGTGGCCGAAGCACGAAACGTTACATAACCACCTCTACTCTCTAGAGCTCAAAAAATTTCGATAGTGACAAATCGGTTGTCAAGGGCATCTAGAAAATCCCGATACAACCGATAGTCTGACTAGATACTGAAATAACTAATGGAGTTCACGTTAACGTAATGAAGTAACTAGCCTCATTGTAACTGTATAATATTCCGGGTTCCCAAACCTTGCTCGAGGTGGCATCGTATCGTTTGCTCCTTCTATTGCATCCTATTTCGCCTGCGATAATCCAGTCGAAGAAATCATGCTGGATTTAGCATTATGACAGTGAAAGGGAGCCGGTAGGCACATATTATAGGTTAACATTGAAGGCGATAACTATTGGCTGTAGGTCTGCTTATATATAGATAGATAGCGCGTAAATTTTACTTTGATCCTGTTATCTCGTTTGTCTAGTAGAGAACAATTAACACCAAAGATAATAGGGGGCAATGAATTGCTCGATACGCCTAAGATCGTTCGTGTACTTGTTCCTTACTTGTTATTATTGTATCTATACTATTGTAGCCGATAGTTACGCATGTGTAACACAACAGAAGCCCACATCTAATCGCAAAAGCGTCAACATAACGAATACAATCAAAAGCTTAAAACAATCGCTTATTGGTTCAAGTGTTTACAAACGAGTACGTACAACTATCCATAGTACAGATATGCTTCTCAGTCAATCCACGGTCGACAAGTACTAGTACCTTGGAAGCAATGCTTAGTGGCAATACTCACTGGGAAAATTTCCCAATTTATCTAGTGATCTCAATGGTTTACGAGAACAATCTATCGGAGCCCTCCGCTAGTGCTACATCGGTGCTAATGTACAAAATAAAAAGGCTTAAAATTTTATTTACCTCCAATTTCAAAAATGTGTCGGACTATACTAACCGCACATGCTTTAATTATTCAGATTACAAGTGCGTTCTACCGAAGAAATATTCGCCATACTAAGCACACTTGTCGTCCTCTTTTCGGCCTTTAGGACAGTTTTTCTTAGCTCCATTCTGGCCTTTCTTAGACTGTCCCAATCGTCTTAGACGTGTTCGAAGTTAGGAGAAGTAAAAGAAGAAGTCACAATGTTAAATGCAGTAAATGAAAATTTGACTCTGGCGATAGCCTTTACTAGTTTGAACAAGTAGTATGCATTTGTAGATCTTGTCAGCAAAGAGGTAAAGCTACGTGTTCCATACATGACAAGCACTTTCTAACCCCCATAAAGACAAAGCTGGCGGTATCTCTGCTACAGCTTTGTCAGAAGCAGACCGACCTCCTCAACAGCTTCCTAGCGATGATTATAGCCTCGCAACCGTATAAAAAATTGGTCGACTCTCTCTCAAGATCATTCGTTTGTTAAGATGTTTTCTTTACGAAACAACCTAACAAATCATATCTAATAATAAGATAAAGATCAGCGTAATCGAGGACGATGTTTAAAGCGTGCTCGATGATTTACAAATAAGAGAAGGTCCTCGTGGAAGCTTAGAATTTCTCATCTATGCTTGAACTATTTTACGGCCACAGATTATGCTGTAACAGAACCACAATGAGCAGACCTCTCAAACAGAAATTTGCCATTATTTGACCATTATTTTCTAGTTTGTTTTGCTAGTTCTGGTTTTTGGACCTGCCAACAAGGTAGATAGCTCGTGAGTCAATAACGACCCAGCTATTTCCTGTTTATCCACGTAACTGGGCATTACCAGTAAACATTGCGCTATTAAATACAGCTACGAGTCACTTTGTTCTCCAAATTACGTTTTCATATCGAGATGAAATTACCCTCATTATAAATAGAAACTCTGTCACAAGTGCTATATTCACCGAATATCAGCATTCGATCTACGACGAGAAGAACCCCTGATTAACACGTATAAGGACAGATTATCGATGTCGATTCCAGTTGGGCTGGGTCGCTAATTACGGTACTACAGAAGCGAACAAAACCCATGGAATTACGCGTGCTATATTTGAGCAGACAAATGTAAGCCTGACTATGTGACTGCTGCGCAAAAAGCGAACATATCGGCTTTTCAAAGTGATGATAAGGTACATTGCCGATTATGATAAACGCTGATTAGCTTATGATTACTATCATCTTGTAAAAACTAAACTTTTTTTTGAGTTCGGGTACGTTTAGTAATTACATTGAGAGAGAATGAGCATGAGACGCATTGAAGCATGCACTCTCAAGTTTTAAACACTTGACTTTTTTAGCAAATCGGTTCCCGGACATAATTCATAACAGCATAAACGATAAAAGTTAGTCGGCAACAGGGAAACCAAAAGAATGTAATGATAGCTTGGAGACTAAAGTAGGGTTGTCTCTTAGGCAAGTCTGGTCAGCGATGTGCCTCTCGAGATGAATGACGACCTCTGACTTCGGACTAACCGTCCAGTAACGTATTTTAAGGTTGAGCCTTACACGAACTTTGCGACGGCATACCGAGCGCAAGTGGATATAGTTCCCATTACGCTCTAGGTATATGTTGTTCAGACACAACTTTGATAAATACTGCACATCGAGACTACAAAAATATACAAGGATTAGCTACCGAGCTTATGACACTTTCAACAATAACGAGGGCAATGTACGGCCGAACGGTTTATATGACGATAACGACGATTGCGTTCATCTTCCAAGCGTTCGGCACGCTGTTTCGTGTGTACTTCTTCGACTCGTCGGCTTGTTGGATTATCGTGTGCAATCTCGCCAGCGGCCTTACTGGCAGATTGATGTTTTCAGTATCGGGGTCTTTTTCTACCTCGTGGCTGTGAGCACGACAAAGAATTGTCCGACGCGTTTTGCGGCACTCGGAATGATTACCATGCTAGCCACAATTAGCGACTCACCTTTGAAAGGCTTTAGTGGCGATCAAATTTGATTCTGTCCTGTACACCTTGACCATGATAGTCGGTCCGTTTTTGGTATCGTTCATCTTTTGCAAAGTTCTAAATAACACTGATCGTCTATCGTAAGCCACGACCTATGGCAAAATTGCCCGAGTCGTTTGCCCCTTGGAAAGGACTCACCACAGTGTTCAAGCGCTATCGCGAAAAGGATAACAAATAGGCGAGCCCGGGCCTTATGCTGATTTCACTTAGTATGACACCGCTAATCCCCCCTGCATCACTAATTGCTTAAAACGCTATCGCTGGAATCTTGATATATGCGCGTAATTGAGAGTCTCGAAAATTGTCAGCTTGTTTTTGTACTGTGCACTATGAGTCATCTCGCAAACGCTACAGACAAAACTAGGCTGCTTGTAGTTTCCTGCGCCATTGCGGCTGTCTTGGCGACAGCAGGATAGTCAGTATACATTTACCTGTCGGCCTACTTAACCTACGACAAGACTGGTAAAGTATTCGTGCCTATTTCACTCATTGAATGGAGCACTCCGATATTAGGAGAAACATCCTTCAGCTGGATTTACGGCGATAGCAACTGGCATCGTCTAATTTTGTGGTTCCAGCGTTCATTTTTGTACTCCTAATAACTGACGTCGTGATACTCATATAGGGAACGCCTCTGATGATGCAGCGCCGGGAACGCCTGATGTTATCCCGGTGGACTGATCAAAAATAGTAGATAAACTAAAAAAACGTCCTTGTTTGATAGGTATGTAATGGAGCCTGAGCCACTAGTGAGATTGTAACAAGATGGACGTATAGAAAGCAATATTTGTAAGCGACCGAGCAACACTTGGAACAGGTGTAATGATGGTAGCAACTATCGTTCTCTCGAATACCAACATGGATTGTTGCGTTATTATGAGAACTGTAAATCATTTACTTTAAGTACAGGATATAATATATCCGATGAGTCATATTCGCAATGCTTCTATGCATATAGCTTACACAAATGGGCTATGAAATCACTCGAGGTTGGCTCAAGAACGTATTCCTTGTTATGGTCTATATGCTGAGCGGAATTTATGAAGTTCATTGGACGAAGAAACAAATGTGACCTAGGTAGTATTCAAATAAAGGAAATTGTTATAAAATGTCCTCATTACTAAGTAAATGTTCACCTCGTTCCCAAACAGTGTCCCTCACTTAATAGGTAGATACATTATAGGTATATCAAGTATTTTTTGCTATTTGACAGCTAATCAGGCAATACTAGAATACAATCTAGTCTCTCTATAAAGTATTTAAATATAATGAACGTTTCGATTTTTCGTGTTAATTCCGCTTAGCTTTTTTTTTTTATCACCCGTATGCCAATCTAAAACCCACAAAGGACACTATTGCGATAATCAATGTATAAACAAAATAATGTTAGGTTTAAATTTAGATTGTTTACTATTGGTTTAAATGATGAATAAATATTTAGAGTAAATTATTATTATTATTAAATATATTTTTTCTTATATTATTATTTTTTCAGACAAAAAGCATTCTGAAAACGATGTAATGATATTAGTCAAGGTGTTGACGCGAGTTATGGTAACTTGGTCTTGCTTAGACAGCATTGATCATAATTAACAATATATCACTAAGTGTGAATCTCTATAATCTTTTGTCTTCGCAATAGTTCATTTCAGATAACGTCAGTTTATTTTCTGTTCTTTCATGAGAAATGGGATTTAAGAACCTTCATTTCTCATAGGTGGCCTGTAGAGGCAAGACAAATAAAGATGAGGACTATGATCTGGCAAATATGTGAGAGTACCGAACATTTCCGATAAGCAGAGCGTTTTACGTTAACTATAATGTAACATAAAATATAAAAAATGTATTAAAATGTATACTTCTGCCTATTTTGGAAATCTAAAACAATACATATTCAACTTCATCCCGCCGTACGGGGCAAGGCAAGTTTAAGGTTTAACATATTATACATGCCAATACGGCTAAACAACGAGTTCCTTAACGTCATATTAAATAATAACAACAACAGCGTATTTCAAACGTGTTCGTCGATAAATGCAGTTCGCAAAATGTTAGAGCACTCTTAGCAGTGAAAAAAAACGTACTTCTTTTTGAACGATCGTCATTACTATCAATGCAAGAACCTAAACGTTAGTTTTTTTTCTATTTTACTACCATAAGACGTTTTTCGAGAAAGATCCAACATTTTATATATATAATGTGGTATATATATATATACATATGTATATATATGTAGAAGTAGAGAATGCCTATATATATACAGGCATTCTCTACAAGAAGTAATCAAAGTTCGAGTTTTACGAGTTTGCTTAACCGTAAGCAGTCTTGACGACTCATATGTTCATTATTGACAATATTATGAAAATATTATTAATAGGTAAGTGTTAGTAGAGTCAAAATTATTATATTTGTCATACAAAAGCTTCCTCTTGGTGCTACATGTGTATGAGGCGAAGAATAACTATTATCAGTTCAGATTATATCAGAGATAATCACTAAATATATATGATATAATTAGTACCTATAATATAAAACTAGTGAGGGGTCTAATCGAAACTTCACCCTTTCGCCAACCTACATGTATTTCATATGATATGACAGAGTCGCCTTGTTCCATATTGGTGCAAATGAACATTGCATCGCTGGGTTGCTTTAGCTATGTAAATTAGCTTAGGATGTATCATGCATCTACTTCTAAAACTCCGCAGAACTATAAATGTTTCAAAGCAAGCCATTTTACACAACGAGTTGAAAAGTCAACTATACCTTATTATTATTTTGATCAGTCGGCAAATGCCCTAAGCTGAAAAAACTGGCTAGACGACGAAAGTTTTTCTCCTCAACTGACAACTTATCTTATTTTCCAGTACTTTTTAGTATCGTGTCCTGTCTTTTTAAAACTTCCCTAGCTACCATCTTCCGTATCACTGCTTCTCCATTCACTTACATATAACGAAGCCCATAAATATTAGTGCATAATTCTATGGGTAGTTGTAAAAAGCTAAAACGGCGGTCATTGTCCATTCGAACACTTCCATCCATCGACTACGGCTTGGTAACGAGCAATTCCTTCGCTCGTCCACCTGTTTCGTTTACTTGCCATCTATGTATGTCCTAACGATGAAGATGACAACTACAGTGGCGAAATCTTGTCTTATTTCTCTCTGCCTCTCTTGTTGTTTGCCGCGTCTGCCCAACCATTCCGATACAAACGTCTAGCCAAGCGGACTATTAGATCATATGTATCATGATTGGCACCGAACAGGACTGTAGTTTTAATCGATCAGATGCTGCTACAATGGCCACCATACGGAATCACCATTACTCTTCCGTCAGCGCGACCGCCGCAACTGCTACCTACTATCAGCATCTTTGTGCGAGCTACCATTATTGCCTCTAACGCTATAGTACTCGTTTCACCTCCGTTTGTATGAATAATGCCCAACGCCTCAACTGCTATTGTACCGTTACTGCTAACCGGTCTGGCCTTCTTCCTCGCTTGTGTATCTTCGGTTCGCCGGATCGCATTGGTCCCAAGCGTCGATATCGGCATCGACAGCATCGTTTACCCCGACAGCCGTGAGTTCGTTAGTATCGCTGCTTTACTGTCGAAATGGAGCATTGGCACTTTAGGGAGAAGTCGATCTACCATTGCGGGCCACAAATCTAGAGTTATAGTTACCCACCAGGCGGCAGTTCGCAGCAGCGCTGACAAGCGCAACGGCGCTAACACCTGCGGCAAATGCGGTAACGCCAACGGAAATAACAGGAGAGAGAGATGCCCGTTGCGGTGATCGTGCTGCTGTTGGTGTTTATGTCACATATTTACGCTGCCCAAATGGCGACGTTCGCCCTCGTAGATGCTGCAAGCTTGTTTTCGCTCAGTTACTTACGCAGCCATCAAGCCAACGGCAACTCATCCTCCTGTATCTGGCCATTCAGTGGACCGACCAGTCGAGCTGCGGGGGCAATCAGCTGACAGCGGCCCGGTTGACAAAAGGGCATATGCAGTGGTTGCCATACGCCAACACCTGCCGCTGCCTGCTGCTGCGCGAATTGCTCCGGCTAACGCTCGCCCACCGACTTACTCATCCGCTAGCCTACTAACTGAGAAAAAGCATTGCTCGTCTCAACCGTAAATAGGAAAAAGCGGCCAGTTAGCAAGTACCAGGGGAGTCAGCAATGGCGAACAGGAAGACAGTTGTGAGTCAGGTAGGCAGGTGATCATTTGGACAATAGATGTCAAGAGAGCCTCTGCATCAGAACCACAGTATCACAGTCGCCCATAGTAGGAGCATCGGCATGTCAGCGGTGTTGGCGATCCCGATACCACTGACGCTGCTGCTGACGTCGCCAAATACAGCCAGTGCGGTCGAAAGCTGACGCTGCTGCTGCCGCCGTCCACCGGAGTCGTGGCCGGCATATAGTCTGTGGAAATTCCAACAATTCTCAACCTGCAAGGCCCTTTTTTCTACCACAGTTCGCCCGCCCGTTCCGTAACGGTCTGATTGGCGCACTCAAAACGATACGCCTTACATCGTGTTTTCTGCTTTGGAACTGCATCAGCAAATACAGCAGTCACTTTAATTCTATATTGTATATCAACTGTAGTAGTATTCTACAGCTCAATAATAGAGTTAATCAGTTCGTTCGTTCATTGGTGATCAAATGAATCGGGAAAAATCGACGCAGACCCGAAGCACCTCGATGCGGGGCAGCTGTTGCTGCACATTATACTACACTGGCCCTCTACGACTATCGTGACCGGAAGCAAATGGAAATTATCCACTGTATCGAGGATGAAAGCTGGCTCTTATCATGGTCGAGTTTGTAGCTGGTTTCTGTGCTGGCACAATGTCAAAACTTCTATCGATAATCTATCAGAAGCAAGCGCCAGCACTGTTATCGAGACCCTGAGAGTGGCTACAGGGTAACGTCGAGAGACAGAGTGGGCTGAACTTGTTTTGCCAGTCACTCTGTTGTCAGTCAGGCCCGACATGTTTGCCACTTAGGCTAAATAGTTCGTTTTTAACAATCGGCACCAGGAGTCAGGTAACTTGTACTCTGCTAAACACAATACAATTGTAATCAAACGCAGGTTACCCAATCACGGTAACTTACGCCGGTGTATGGGCGCCAACGGTAGGCAACTGCTGGACCATCAGAGTACTTCTAGCAGCAGCTGTGGCGACAGTTAAAAACGACTCATTTCCGCCGCATCTAGATCCTTGACGAGGGCTCTTGTAGTTTCTGGGAGGACGGCGCTTTTCCGGGTATCCTAGCTTCTTCCAATGACGCACTCAAGCCAGCCGGCAAACCCGGTTGACTGGTGCTTACCGACCGTCAGCACCATTCAGTTAGGTTTACAGGCAAGCGTAGGGATATACCGATTGCCGTGTGTGGCTGGGCCGAACTAGAATACGCCGAGCGCCAGCAGCCCTTAAGTACGCGCAGTCGCTTTACCGCCAGGCTTAGCAGTATACACGGGTCGGTCCTATTCTGAGCCCCACCTCGTTCTAGTTCTAGCTATTCGCTTTTCGTCGTCATAGTTCGCAGCTAGACGCTCACCCGCCCCAGTAACAAACTAATTAATGGACCACCCTACCGAGCTCGTAATACCAGCTAGCTACTCTGACTGTGGTGACTAGTTACTGCAAAAGCGACGGGGCTATGCTGGTGGAGAGTTGTCACATCTTCGTACAGGCAGCTCCCCGCGTGGCCTAACCGACACACAGCCCGCACAGGTAGATCAGCAGTTGCCGCCGTAAGTTCTATCCTACCGCAGTAACTATTAGACAATTTCTACTACAAGCACTTCTGCCAATATTGTAGCGACAGCCCTGTGTCGTCGTATAGCAGCAGCATTGTCATTAGCATGAACAGCATTGGCAGCATCGATGACAACATTTGTTTCCGCGTCGTCGATGGCTTGCGAACAACGGGGCCAGCGCATCGGTTGGTCGAGTGAAGGCAGCAAAAAGAAGTGGAAGGAAAAAGCTACGTCACAGAGAGAATGGCAGGCAGGACGGCGAAGGTTACATAGTCGACCGCCTGGCAGCGCGAAGGAGAACCGCTCGCTAACTGCTGCTAGCGCCAACGCTACTGCCAGGGTAGCGACGACTATTGCCTGGCGATTGAGCAATTGAAAGAACGAACGGGCCGGCCACCTGAAGCGGCAGTAGCGGTAAACTGAAGTGGCTTATTGACCTGACTGATTGGCTGGAGGGCGTCCTCCTCGATCAGACACCGCTACCGCAAACAACAGCATCAACAGCAGAAGCAACAGGGAGACCGACAAATCCTTTCTCTTGCTTGCCATTTGATGCTGTTAATGCCGCCACCATCGCTGCCGCTAGCCGAACCTTTCTCCTGGCGTCGACAGCCAGCCAGGCGGCTGGCCAACGCCGAGTGTTCTCGTTGGAACAGCAGCAGCAGCAGCAGCAGCAGCACTTGCCGCTCCTGCTGATGCTGCTACTAGTGTTGGTCTATGGCGATGCTGCCAGCGTTCTCCTGCGTCGCGACCACTACCGCCGCCAGTCGGACGGGAACGCCACTAACCAAACTCATCGTAGCCGTCGTGCTTGTCATACTTCTAGCAGCTGCTATCATTGTTGCAGAAAGGAGGGCAGCTGGGAGGGAGGCTGGGAAGAAGGCAGACTGCTCGATCCGTTCCATCTAGAAGCCAGCAGTAGCAACGCCGGCGGCGGCAGCACTAGCGGCGTACCGATAGCGTCACTACCGCTACTAGACGATCGCCCCTCTATTCAACGTCGGCCACAACGCTGCCACCATCAGCGTTAACAACAACAAAAACAGCAACGACACAATCAACTGCTCTTGCCGCAGCAACAGCAGCAGCAGCAGCAGCAGCACAAGTAAGCATATGGTAGTGATTGTTGTCGTCGCGGTGAACATGGAGGGGTGCTGTGCCGATAGAACTTACGGAGTACTTGCTACCAATAATAGCCTAGACTAGTCAGTGATACCGTGTCGACTAGATGGCGACTGGATATTAATAGGTCCGTTCTGGCTGATTAATAACCACTGGATTACTACGATAATATAACAAAGACAGCAGCAGCTAGTACTAGTGCTGGGTACTAGAACAACTGCGATAAGTGCGCTACGTCGAGTGCACTGCTGGACCCGTCAGTTTATTTTGCAGTAACGTTTTGGGTAAGGCGAGTTTAGCAGCGCGCCGCCTGCTCCTGGCTGTAGTCCGTCCATCTCTTCGCGTATGGAACGGAGTCGTAATCTCACCAACATGTTTCCGTCTACCTAGGTAACACCTATGGAGTCGCCAGCGCCACGGATGCTGCCTCTGCGGCATGCAGTAGAAAGCTCAATGTCACTCTCTAGCTGGTGAGTACTTTTACTACTAGCTAACTATTATAATTATTATTGCCATTATTTACGACACCCTCATTACGATAATCCTTGAACTCAGCTAAGATTCTCAGCGGATTTAACGCGTTCCTGCTGGTCCCGCTTCAGAGCCACATGCTCCAGAGCTTCGGTGTGCCGTGTCTATCGTCGTGGCGTTTGCTTTCTCTGTTCGTCCCTTTTGTTGACGGCAAGTGTAATCGCACATTTTCAACATTGATTGATTCTCTATTGCCACTGGCTCAACGACGCTTAATTGTTAGGTTTTAGAGAGGCTTACAGTAGTGCTGGTTCTGAGCTAATCGAAAATGTTCACTGATCTCTGGTATAAACTGCTGTACAGATGGTTCAACGACCTATGTACCATTGTCATTACAATATGTCCGCACTAGTTCTGCCTATTTTTTTTTTTTCGATCCTTCCGAAAAGGCAGCTGTCTTGTATATGGCTTCACCTTACAAGCCATGAATTTTCATCATGACACTAATCTTTTTGTCACCTGACCACACTAACGTTTATTCATTCTTATCTACTTATTACCATCATGATCGCCATCGCCGTCACCCTTGTCATCATCGGCCATCTCAATGTTCCGCTATACACTCGTTGAGTTAATGGATCGATCTAATGAGCTACCTCCTTCTAGTTGTTCCCTGTGTTTACTTGGGACGATTTGATCCGCGTGCGACTCATGGTGACCGTGCAGTGCCCAGCCCTATTTAACGTCCAGTCACACAGACGCCATAGTCAACAGCACCGTTTATTAGTCCGTCGGACCAACTAACGTTGCACTCAACGCGACTAGGAAGAACCAGGCAAAAAGGTCAGGGAGTTCACGCGAAATGGACGATGTCAGGACTAAGAGCACTGGCAACGACGCCAGCAGTCGCGTATTCAGGACCTTTGGGTCAGCGTCGATACTGGGGTTTTCGTAGCAGATCGACGAGCGTCTGTTCGGCGACGACAGCAGCGGCCGTTCCGTTTTCTTGTAAGATCACGTCCCACATTGCGATGCTGCCACATGGATACAGCGGAGTATACTGGAGTCCAGTGTCAGCAACACGATGCACAATACGTCCTGCCGTTATGTTCTGTCCGTGACAGCAACAGTTGTATTTGGGTGTGTATGTGTGTGTGTTCCAAAGCCTGTGGCCTGTGTGCGTGAGATACGTGCTCTGCGCCGTGCGCGCCGTCTATCAGTTAGACCTTGCGATCAGCAATAGTTTATACGAAGGCAGCGGCGCCGGCAGCTGCTGTTGCTGCCATCAACATCGACACGGCTGGCCGCGTCAGCAGCACAAAAACCATGTGGCCGTTCATGTTCTTGTTGTCGTCAGCTCTAATGAGACTGAATAGCAGCGTTTATCATAGCACCACCTTCCGTCATTACTACGATCTGTACTATCGTTGCCACTGATATTGCTATCTGTGCTCGCGTGTACAGTTCACGCTGCCACGAACGACTTAGCTAAAATTCGCTACCTATTACGACCATATACCAGACCGATGCCTCTGTCCCTCAGATAATGCCGTTAGAGTGGTAATAACGATTCGGCTGTGTGTAACTTTACCCTGTGTCTGTCTGTCTGTCTGTCTGTCTGTCTATGTTTTCGTGTGTGTGTATTCAAATGTCTGGGGTTCGTCGTTATTGTGCAATTCGCTTGCTGCTATCCTGCTGCCAGCCAGCATTGCTCCTACAGTCGACCCCGCTCCATCGGGCTGCCGTTGTTGCTGAAGCTCCGCTGCAACTTCACTGCGACCAGCGGTGGTTGTATCACGGTAACAACAACACTATCGCCGTTCGATCGTTACCACCGCACGGTAACACTTCGCGCCAGCTGCAGGTACAGCTTCCAGCACGATTCGGGATAGTCTAGACAGAGCTCAACGGGACATCTACACGCCCGCTATATGTTGGAACACTTTGGCAATGCTGCGAGCCGACGTTCAGGTCCGATGCCGCAGTGTCCGCCACAGAGTCCATCAGGGTGATAGAGTCTGTCCCGTGTGTACTGGTAGGTTCCTATACACGGAGGTGTACGCAACATTTTTTCGCATACGTTTTACCTATGAAATATACCTAGTGCGGGTGATGTGTCTGTGCGTTAGCCGTTGGTAAACGGTTCACCTTCAAGCTTTCCGGACATGCCCCGCATGAGTACTTGTAAGTACGCGTTTCTCGCTCCAGGTGGCTGAAGTGGTCCTGCACTGCGTGCCCCACAGATTAAGGTCTGTAGCTAAAGCAATAGAAATCGCGGGAGTAGCGATGGAACCAGCGTCACTTTCCAGGACTTTGCTTGGTCTGCAGTGAATCTCCGTTGTGCATTCGTCGTCATAATTATCGCCGCTATCATCAGTGTTATTATTGCAGTGTGACTTATCAGTGACGGACGCTATAGGTGGTGCAAACAATGGATACATGTTCAGTGTCTCCTAAGGTTGTCCAAATAAAGCTCGACCTTATACACATGTCATCTTAACCACCATCGTCTCATCTCACGATTTCAGACCCCCAAAGCATCCGGGAGAAGCAGCATTGCTACAGTGACTGTAACTACAACACTAGTCGAAATTCGCAGATTTTACCGGCGTGCCCGATAGCGAAGATCCCACATAACCGCGCCATATATATATATATATATATACGTTACAGATAACAGCCTGACAAAATTACATTGCTGTCTCAACACCATGGCTAAAGTTCGTCATATGGTAAGTACTGTGTTGCAATACACTCTTACTAGACGATTATTTATATTTACTATTTAGAATAGAACGATCTAGCTTAGGTAACGTATTACATCCCATTCGGAGTTCAGATTGGATGAATTTAAAGCGAATCGATACGACCATCATGCAAAAAAAACTACCAGTATGCGACACGTTTCACTACGACAAAAACGATATGGCTAAGTTAGTTGTTGAAACAACGTTGTTATCGATCGGCTACCTAAAGAATGACTCCGAGCAAAAGTTAATTACTATACGTGTGGGCGTGTGTGCCCCATCTGATGGTTTGGAAAGTAGAAAAGCTTATACATTGCGCTTGTCGCTGGTTGCCAGACTTCCGACATTATCGCAAACGGTTAGCGCCCCCGTACAACGGCGAGATTTCGAGGGAAAATTACATGAATCTAACGATTCTCCTGTGACCAATAACTGTGGCAGATGAACGTCAAAAGCAAAACGAGAAACATGCGATTTAAAATATCTTCCTTATAAACAAGCATAGGTAAATGAAACAAGAAAGATATCGGAGGTCACTAGATCAGTTGTCCAGCGATTGTTAGAAATAGGAAAAGATAGCTTCGAATACGAATTCGGTTTTTGTGACCGGCAAAACGGCCTTCATTTCTGTTCTGTTCCCCCGCAAATCTAGACTTGTCGCTACTCGGAACTCTCGAATTTTTTAAACGATGCGAAGGCTGTCCGCTTAAGCAACCATCTACCCGAGTCACGTGTAGATCATAGTCATTCCTACTTGCAGTTAACTGTACCCATGCATATCTTTTTTCCTATATAGCTATCATTGTACAAACGCATCCTGCTTCGAGCCGTGTGTATGACTATAGCCAATAGTACTACCTCAGGCCGGGATTTTGGGTAGCGTCAGCTGCGGCTATTGGCGACGCTTCATGCCTAATTTACCATTCACTCGTGGCCCTTTGAAATTGGCCTTATTTGAACCCTACGGAGGATGAGGAGGTGGCAACAGCAGCGGGTCAAAGCAACTAACTCAACCAGGCCGGCTAACCGCCCAGTTAGCCGGTCTTGGGCCTTAGACGTGGAACGATCAAACCGATATCGCTTGTCGTATCTCGTAATCGATCTGCGCTTGATCGCGAGAAGTTATAATCGAATTAACCTGTTTGATGTCCTACTCTGTAGATTATGAGCTGCTGGCTGATCGCTACCCGTTGATAAATATACATCTTAACCTACCTACTTACACATATATATGTAGGTGAGGTTTTATCTGATTCGTATCATTTAAACGATCAGTGAAAGCGAGTGCATGATCCGACCAAATGATTAGACCTGAATTGCTTCAGACGAACACCTTGTCCTATATCTGTGTATGTATCGTAGAGCGCACGGGGTCGGGCGCTCCTGGTCAACGGCTCATGCCCTACCAACGAACAAGTAAATTGTATGCGATAGCTGTTTTTGCTATCGATTTAAGTGAATCGATAAGAAAGCAGCGAATTTTTGAAAAACTAAGAAAAACACGGATCGCGTATTATACTGGTGCATTAACAGACAGAGGTAAAAGGGTAATTGCTTCGTTCCTCGTCTTATTCTCAGCTACTATACAACCTCTACACACGCAATAAATATGAGCCAGTGTGAAAACTGCCACTTATATTCATCGTTGTTATCTTTGTCGACATTACACAGAAATTGTTCATGCTGACTTCTATTTTCGCTTTCAGAAAAGTTTAACTAACAGAAATTTAGACATTGTCTACGTTCTAATGCGACGATGGCAACACCGATCGTGTGTTTCCGCTTTAGGTAAACACTTTCCGTTAATTTAACGTGAAATCAAGTCTGAATGAGACGAAGCGTCTGAGCATCTATCCGAGGCTATTTGCCAACTCACAAAAAGCTATGTTCGCAAGCTTCTCTCGTGCCGACCAGCCATAATATCCTTTATTCCTTCTTTTAGACTCTTTCGATTCGGACTGAGCTGCTGCTGAGCTCTCACGCGCAGCTCTGCGTCGATGCCCACAGGCAGACGTCGCTGTGTCTGGCTGGCTGGCTGGCTGGCTGGCTGGCTGGCTGGCCGGCCGGCCGGCCGTCTGTTTAAAGGAACGCGATATCACAGATCACATAGCCTTGTTTGTTGTTCGTGAACGGGCACTCTTTCATATTAGCATCAAATCACCACTATTGGCATCACCTCTATATAACAATCGTATAGATGGGTGGCTGTTCATCACCACATGTTCAATACGTGTTAGACCATGGAGGACGAATTGGCATCATATACTCGCATACGGATGGCCACCCTTGAACGCTGTACTGTTCCCGACATGACGCCGGTGTTCTCTCTAGTTCGTAATGGTGGCCCCGCCGTGCCGGCTCGTAGGCAAAAGCCAATTCTGGGCGAACGCGGCTAGACGTGTTGAGCCAGCGGCAGCAGCGCAAACCGTGGCACCCTTCCATAGAACTGAGATATGTAAGCCGTCGTCTGCTGCAACCGCGTCAAGTTTGGCATATAGGCGCTTTGTAGACAAATTAGAGAGACAGACGGAGAGAAAGAGGGAAACAGAATACGGGTGTTGTTTTAGTAGTAGTTGTTGTTATCGACACGGATAATGAAGAAGACCGACGTGTGGACCAATGATACGTCTGACTCATAGTGCTGTATCGGCTAATTGAAGTTGTCCTGCTGAGCCGGTTTCGCTTGTTAAAAGTCTTGTGTAGATCACAGAAAAACCGCTGTAGAATATCTGATATCTTCTGGCGACGTCAGGTCGACGTTCTAGGCAAACCAGGAATGCTTGAAGTAAGTTACGTACGGCTCGTACGTATGTAGATATATTGCCATCGCGGTTCGTAGCAACGCGGTTGGCTCTAATAGTTGTAGGGCGCCACGGTAAAAGCCAGCACCGACGTTCAGGTTCAGCGAAGACAGCCAGCTACATAAAAATTTCACGACGTAGGTTAAGTGTCAGCTACGTGCAATCCATCTAAGATTAATACCTTGCTCTAGAAACACATTTTCGCAAGGAAGAACAAAAAGAAAAACACAACTGGCAAGTATATACCGAACGAATCTATTCGTTTCGTCCCACACCTGGAGAAAAGTAGGAAATCGTCTGTGGTCTTGACCCAACCACCTATTTCTTTCGGTTCTCGATTAATTATTAAGGAATGCACCATGTACCGCAAATCCGATCGAACTCTGCCCGAAGCGATTCGAACGGCACAGAGCCTTCCAAAAGGAACTAGCTGCGGCGATAAAGGTAACGGCGGTACTTCTAAATTGATCCCTACGATTAAGACTACGATACTGTAGACCTTCGTCAAATTACTGCCCCCAATCATAAGCCAGCATTCGATTTAACACAATCGTTGGTATTGATCCACTGCATTCGATTATGTGAGTGAGTACAACACGTAGTTGAAGGAGTGAGCTGCGTCTATGGACTTCATAATGAAGATGCTTCTTTGACTACAAGTAGCTCTTAATGGGGCCTAGGCACTATCTCGTCTCTGCAGACGAGTCTTTTGGCGTCTTCAATCGCCTATTGCTCATTTGATTTTAACATATCGTAAACTCATAGGCGTATATGACTATCATATCTATTGTCTAAGATATGATGGTCCTCGAAATTTAGCAATTAATGGTCAGGAAACTAAAGCTATTTTTCAAACGCCTCGCTGGTGCACTAAGAGCTGCCTGCAGCTAGACTCATTTTAAGAATGGCCGAAATAATGATTTTACTTTGTCTGGGTCGGTGGTTACCGTCACAAGCAATTACTTCGATATTTACGTCCATAAGGGACTTATTCTGAAACAAACAAGGACTGCTCCAACACGGCTAAGTAGGATTTTAGAAGCTGTTTTATAAAATCCTGCTTGACTAGGCTCGCCGCAATTATCTCATATGCAAGGTCTTCCGATGTTTTAATTTGCAATGCTCTAAGTAATCTGTATTTCGGAAGACAAAGTTAGTGCCTATACGAGCTGGAAATGTTCGTCCGTGGGTTGAACACTCGCATGTTTATTGCATATCATGAGAAGATATTTTCTTAAAAAACTTTCGCTGAATATATTTAAAAGGAATTGTCAAACACTAGTGATCCGCGAGCGAGAAAAATTAAAGGCCAACCCAGTCCCGATAGGCTTTGGCCTTCTTCTATGCCAGACCGCGCCAGCAACTTTACTTTCGTCGCTTAACGTAGATTTCTATTATAAGTAATAATAATAATTTTGCTATGTTATTATTTTCGATTAAACAGCACTGACACAAATAGTACTATAAATGATATTATGGTTGTACGTATACGGTTACTAATTTTTCTAGCATTTATGATTATTTGTTTAGATAATACGATGGGCCAAGCAGCGAATAAGACCCGTGCTCAATCCAGCCCAAGTAGGAAGAGCTATGTATATATATATATACATGTATATATAAATGTATATATATATATATATATATATACATAAAAAGCAATGTATTATTAATGACTATTATGGCTTGCGTTTTAGTTACAATACAAACGCCGTATCAAAAGCGCTGTCTATTAAATGTATTCTTTCGATTTCGTTGTTAAGTCTATACGATACGTCGAACGTCATTGTCGATTTATGACTATTCCCGATGAATTTTGTCGCTATCATGCGAAGGTAAGAACGGCAGCACCTGTTAGGGTTTTGATTGTGCCCGCAGCGGCAAAGTTGAAAAAAATTAAGTTTTAGTATGAAGAGACAACCGAAACTTTTTTTTTTTTTATTAGGGTTTTTAAAACTTTTTTTCTGAATCTGAAACCATTCGAACTCGGTCATGTAATAAAGTTGTTGCCATCCGTGGACTACTAGCATAGCCTGGTTCGGCCTCGTGTATCGACTCAATTTTGTTGACCAAGCGGGTTGTGTTATCCAAACCGTTGACGTCAGTTTTACGCAGTTAGTGCTTCAACAATTGTTTATCACGCCTGCGCTGCCTACCTCCGAAGCACTCGTCGAAGTGGCATTGCTACACGAAGTGAAGTTGTCTATGCTGAAGCCTAGATTCCGGTTTCGTACGGGCAGAATTCGCGTTGCGACTAAGTGCTGCTTACCGTTGAAATTACCGTTGCCCAGCAGCGGTTACGCCTCGAGCAGCCAGAGTCATAGCGTGGCTTGTCGATGCGTTCAAAACGACGATGACGCCGACGACTAAAGCGTGTGCATCCGAAAGATCGTTGCTTGTTTCCCTGCTCCGTCTGGCTTCAGTTCTTCGAAGATTACCGTCGCTACCGTCACTATTACCATCAAGCTGCCGCCTGCGCCGGGCTGGCCTATGCTTCGTTCGTACAAGTCGGTAACAAACGAGTCGGCCATATGTAGATAGGCACGTCGTCGCGCCTGTAGATGGTGCCGTTGCCGTATTGCCACGGCCGATACAGTAACCGCGAGAGAGCACTGGCCCTTTCCGTACACGCTGATGAAGCAACACCAATCCATTTAAGCTGGCTTTGAGATACTGTCCAAAAATAGTGCATCATCTTTTCGTTGTGGCTGCTGTTGCGCCGTATTGTCGCTAGCGTCGCTACGATCTACTGCCGGTACAGCCGCGTCCGTCTGTGCGTAAGTATAGAAGTTTGCCGTGTGCGTGTGCGGCGAGCGCCTGTCCATTCATTTGGGACTTACTCTTACCATGTCTGCGCTGCGATCGTGGTATGTCCCAACGTTCACTGCATAACGACAGCAAGTTGGCTGGCTGGTTACTGCCCGCTACCGAAGCAGAGACAAGCTTTTCCGCTCGCCTGATTCGTTTCTTGACGTTCGTTCGCCTGTTTGCTCATGGGTTCCAGGCGCACACGACGCTGCGGCCTGATTAGCCAAAGAACAACGGCAAAAATAAGAACGCCGCTCTAGCTTAGTATAGCCTGTCCGCCGTTATTGAGTGTTGACTACGGGCAGCATCGAAAATTGGCCATAAATACAAGATCAGCAGCAGATCTAACGGAATCCTCAGCGTTGCTGATGCCGCACCGCTTCTATACCATCGCTACAGACAAGGATAAGTTTCAGTCACGATGTTTATCTATATGTGTGTGTTCGGTATTGGTTCGCTCCACTCAAGTACGCTGTGGCTAAGTTGCGAGAGGCAACCGCCAGGGCTTGCTAATGTCGCTTCTGCAAGCTACGAGCGCCACCACGCCCGTTGATAGTATGGGAAGAAAAGAAAACGTAAAGATAGACACAACACCAGCTACGAATCGCTCAAAGAGTCAAGCAACTAAATACATACACATGAAGCACTTGTCAAGAAGCTCCGATCCAGTCATTGGACCGAACGGCGCTGGGCGAGTGAAATATCTCGCATCTCTCTTAAGCTAACCACACAGGTGATCGAGCAGCTGCTTGAACTGCTGTGTGTCTACTCTCTGATATAGGCGAACGCACTTCTAAAGAAAGCGATCACAAATCACGAAGAACGTCAAGAAGGACGGACACGAACGCTTGCCACTTATAAGGTTGCATGCACACCAAGGGCACTCGCCATATATGTGTACACGTTGGATTGAGCGGTTACGAAGTGCTGAGTGACGTACGAAGACATCTTGCTGCAATGCGCCTGCCGTGGCGAAAGCTACAGTGAAATGAGTCGTACGTGTTATTAACATATTATACAGACTTACACGCCTGTAGAGTAATGGGTGGGGGGTTGAATACGACAGGGGAGGGCAACTGGGGGCGTTTGCTGTGCCTTTTTATTGTTGGGACAACTGCATCGGTAGCCCGATTCTTGCAGATGCATTTAAAGAACAACTTCAATCTGCGTGCTGTTGTGCGAGCTAGCATTGATTGTCGTAGCGTGGCCTTGCCAAGAGTAACAAAAACTCACTGGAAAAGCCAGCAACGAACGAGAGCTGTTGGCTAAAGCTGTATTGCGATCCGTAAACAGTGGCCAGGCGGCCTGTAAAGCTATGGCTGTTCTATAAAAAGACTTGAAAACAACGATGGAGAAATAGAAAAAAAAAAACGAAAGTATTTCTTTCTATAAACCGGCTTGGTTAATGATCGCCCCGCCAGACATAGGCCGCGATAGAAAAACTTGCTAACTGGCGTCGTTCGTGACACTGTTGCCAACAAAAACAATTGAAATCAGACTGGCTAAAGACATACGGGATGTCTGTTGGCCGCAATTACAATGGCGAATGTGCACGACTTACACGTCTCTCAAAAGGTGTTGACCTAAACCCGTGAGGCACTTTGGGTTCTTAGTTTTCAATGCAAAATTAATTGCTGTTAACATACCCGCTGACTAAATTGTTTTAACCATAGCGCGTCTTGTTTCTGAAGATTGCTGAAGTCCGAATAAAAGTGGTACGATCACACAAGACATATGCGACAAACCTAGATAGGTTTTAGGATTTTTTGAATGTTGAAAAAGGTAAATATCAACGTTAGGACAATCAGCGACGTCACCTTTATCAAGAATATTGTCTTGACTGCCACATGTGTTGTTTATGTTACCCAGGCCATACATACTTTAGCGGATATCTCGTGCAGGTCGACAGCAATCATAACAGGAAGTTTTGCCTTTGGCAGCTTTGCCTACGCTAGGAAAACCGTGTATCGAAAGATTTTCGTAAAATATTGGTGCGTTGCTTGTTACAAATCTACAACATCTACCTGAAGCCTGATCTAATATGATAATTCTTCAAGTCACTGTTTCAGCGCAGCGCAATACGTTAAGACCCTGAGTTGCTGCTCAGCACTTTCTTTAAAAATAAGATTCTAAGCTACCTCGCTCAGGTATAGGGCGTCGAGGACTATCTATATCGAATAAGAGAACAATGTATGATGGAAAATCATATGTTACCTCTCAAAGCAGACAGCGCCCTATGCTAGGTAACTAGAGCCTTGCTACGTGTAGTCAGCGGCCTGTGTTGATTTAATATGAAAGTAATCCTTAAATTTTATCGGTCTCGATTGGCGAAAGTGAACGTTTAGCTTTACAAGGTAAGCCAGCGCTAAAAGATCCAGGTGGGTCGAAATGTTAGATTCTATAGTAATTTCGACAAGATACAAGTAATTTTATTTATTCGGATTGTCAAAAACACTTTGCAAGTCGGTCCTCGAGATAGGTATAGTGCGAACATGCGGTCCCGTACGTATTTTTGTAGTCTAAATTGGATTTCCAAGTAGAGCTTTTACCATATCAAATATTACTTTTGCGATAATTGTGCCGTCTTACGAGTGAGTTGCTCTCTCTCTACAATAACTTTTCAAGTGGCGTCGAATAGATGTTATCTCGTTCTTCGAGCGAGGTTCGATGGTTCTAGTGACTTACGTTGTGCGAAAACCTCGTCTTGTTGCAGGCCATCTACTTGATCTAAATTGTTTCTAATTCAGAACATTGTAGCCTAAGGAGGTATCTACTATCTCATAAGAAATATCTAGTACCGGTGTCTCTTGTTATTGTTGATTACAGCCTGCGGCGTTCGCCAACCAAACAAACGGTCAGGCGACGCCTACTAATTCGTCTCCGAATGGAAGCTCAACTTCATCAACGACATCAAACGGCGCTCAGAAACCATCGCTACATCCAGGGCAGCTCTTCAAAATACCGAAGATTTCAGCCGCTTCGCCAACGCAGACATCGAACGGAAACGGAAATCTCAGTTTTGAGGACGTCCTCGGTAGCGGTGATACTGTTATGAGGTCACCGAAGCACAAGTCGCACCGAAGTTCGGACAGTTCAGGATCGGGTTACCGCACGCCGAAAAAGGACGACCGATCATCATTACAGTTGTCATCTCCGTCGACGTCAGCATCCGCCCCGGTTCGGGGTGACAAGGACAACAAGAGCGTTTCTAGTCAAAGCCAACAGCAACCACAACAACAACAACAACAACAACAACAACAACAGCAGCAACAGCAGCAGCAGCAGCAACAAGCCTCAGTGGAGTTGTCGTTTGCAGGCAGTCGACCATCCAGAGACGCGGATCGACCGGCCGGCGGCCGGCAGGAAGACTGTAGTCATCGGAACAGTCACCGACGCGAAGAAAGGAGTCGTGATCGAGGCGATAGGGACAAAAGCCTCAAGGATATCGGCAGCGATCGTGACAAGAATCGCGATAGGGACCGCGACAGACAACAGCGGGACAGAAACCGAGAGACTCGCTGTGAAAAGGAGCGAAAAGTAGGGGGAGGAGGAGGAGGAGCAGGAGGAGAATGTGGAGGAGGAGGGGGAGATTATCATCGGGATCGGGAGAGGGAACGGACCCGTGAGAGGGACCGAGATCGTGACCGAAGTAGAGATCGCGTCGAGCGCAAAGAAAACCGTGAGAAAAGTAGCAAATCAGGTGTGGCACCAAGTGGAGGCGGCGACAAGGGTGAAAGAGAAAGGGATAACAATAAGGAATACCGGGACCGCGGCAAGGAACGGCGTCGAGAAAAGGAGGTGACGACGCCGCCGGCAGCAACAGGAGGAACAAGCATAATACCACCTATAATTGTAGCTAGCCGTGCTACGAGTGACAGTAGTGGGGGCAGTTATGTTGAAAATGAGGACTCGATAAAGACAGATCGTGTTAACGGACGAACGTCGGCTCAAAGTGATGACGAGCGACTCCAAGAGAAACTTGGCGAAAGACGATGTGATGTTGCAGACAAGGCGAAACATATTACGCGCGAGGAAGCTGTCCACACGGAGGAACTAGTCGCCATACTGCAACGTGAACAACAGCGTCGAAAGGAGAAAGAGGAGCTTCGCGAACGGCGGCGTGAAGATGAGCGACAATGGGAGTCCACCAACGAGAAAGAGGCCAAAGAGAAGACCTGGCAAGAAGCCAAGACGGCGTCACCATCTAGCACGGTTCCGTTCTCAGAAATTAAAGTCGAACCTATCAAGGAAAAATACAGTGAGTAATAATTCAGTAATGAGATACCAATTTGTTTCCAATGAACTGTATATAAAAAAAAATATATATATGTATATGTAATATACTGGCATTTCAATCTATTCATAGAACAATCGAACAGGGCCGATTACGGCTGTATATAGGCAAAAAGACGTACTGATCAGCAGGGCACTCTTCATGTGATATTCTCATGCGGATGGATTTTCAGATGAGCCTACGTCCTCAACAATGAGACCAGCGAAAGTGCCGAAATTAGACGTCCCTAGTCCCCGAGCGTCGACTCCCAGTCCTGTGCTTCCACCAAGTATACCCGGTTTGACGATCACCCCTTTAGCCCCAACGCCCCAACCCGCGTTTCAGACGTCAGTGTCGTCGTCACCTGATCTTCAGAAACTGCTTAAGACACTCGGAACTAATATTATACCAATTACCGAAAAGAGCAAATCACCTACAAGTGGCCTTACAATTCAACCCATTTCAGCACCGGCCGTAGCCCCACAACCACCTGCCCCTGTTGCATTACCCCCAACTCCACCAAAAGCAACACTGCCTGCTGTCCCCGTGTCGGCGTCAACTCCGAAAGTTCAGCAAGGTCCCGACGCCAATATGTTTTTCAAAAAGCTGCCCTCCCCTATGGAGATCAATAACGCACAGTTGAAGCAGCCAAATGGGGCTGGCTTCTTTAAGTTGCCTCCTGGCACGACAAAGTACATCGCTGAGAACAAACAGCGCCGGCTCGCCCCCCCAACAACCCTTCCAGCAGCAGCAGCGCCGCCGCCGCCGCTACCACCACAACTATCCGCAAAAGGATCCTCGCTGCCTGGGGTAGCTAATGCAGGCAACTTCGACACAGCACTAGCCATGGCGGCTATGCTGCAAAGCGCTATTTTGCACAAAATGAAAGAACCTTTGAACGGGCTCACCCTCAGTGATCTCTTCAAAAATGGCCTCGTTTCGCAGACCGCTAGTGAGAAAGCGCTCCAGCAGAAGCAACAGCAGGCTCTTCATCAGCAACAGCAGGTACAGCTGCTGTTGCAGCAGCAAGCACAACAACTCTTGCAGCAACAGGCTGCGCAACAGCAGCAACAACTTCAGCAGCAACAAAAGAAATTCAAACAACAGCAACAGATTGCAGATGCGAAAAAGGTTGACGAAACAAAAGTACTTCAGGAACTCAAGCGTAAAATGGAACAGGCTGCCATGTTGGAAATCAAGAAGAAGTGTTTGCAGCCGTCAGCGTCTGTTGTACCAGCCTCTACAACAGTCGCTTCTACTATAATTTCACCCCCACTGTTGCCTGTTCAAACCTTGGCGTCTCCAGCTGCAACAACTGGCATAGGGACTCAAGATTGGACTTCCTTAGATTTAATGGTCCTCACGGAACGTATGAAACGAGCAATACCTGGACCAGATCACATGCAATTTGGAAAAATGGAGGGCCGCCTCGACTGGAGCCAAATCGCCTTCGCAAAGTACTCACCTGCGGACTGCCGTACGAAATGGAGCGAGGTATGTTTATAAACAACAACAATAGAGTTGAGTTGTCTTTTGTAGCTATATCATTTACGTCCACTGGCTGTTAGTTTCAATATGAAGCGAACTGTTTAAATACGATCTCAAACGGCATGTACATTAATGTTCTATTAGTTGAGTCGAAAGGTACGCCAGTTCCGTACGTTGTCCGAACTACTGGCAGACACACAGGAGTTAATCAAGACATCGGCCCCTGGAGTTTTAACCGTTGCCCCAGGCGGCCCAAGTAGAGAGCGTGAGCCACGAAAGCCGGCCAAACATCCGGAGTTGCCAAAGAAGCCGTTAACACCTTACATAAGGTAAGAAGCACACGCTAATGAACTCAGAACTTGAGAATCCCCTAGATAACCGCGAAGCCCGACCTACGCCAATCAATATCACATAATGTTGTTTTAATGTTTTGTGTGATTAAGGTATTTATTAAAATGATTAAGGTATTTAAAGCAAAGTACATGAAATTGATTAAAAACATTTTCTAGAGTGGATAAATGTAGAATAATTCAATTTCACGGCAGTGATGGAAATTATAATAAATTCACTTGACTACAATGAAATGTATTGAAAGGACAAAAACCCTACATCTGTTTAGTGCGCTAGTGATAATATTACGTTTTAGGCAGCTGTGGAACATGAGGAACGGGCGCCGACGTACGCCTACTTCAACAGTGGCGGCCAGCGTCTCGTCTTCTACCGCAGCAACCGTGTCGTCTGCGCCTGATGCTAGTGGGGTCATTACCATTAATCTGCCTTTGCCAGCTGCACCAGAGACGTAAGGCCGCGTATGGGCTATTTCTTGAATCTGCCCTTTCCTTTCCAACCTGCTTAGCACGTCTCGTGTACCCCTGCATCCTTGTGCATATTTTGGGGTCCTCCACCAGAAGCCCATCTTTTGGTCGAGAAAAATGAATTTCGCTTAGAAACCTTTGCTGCACAGGGCTCATACAATACCTCTGTATATTCCAACGGCATGTGTAAGCCGTGCTTCGATATCCTCCAACATGACACGCTTCGGTCGAAAGTGTTGACGCTAAGTTTTTTTTGTATAAAATCGGCTGCATTAGCTCCGCACGGTTTTCCTACTCGATTCCCACTGCTTTTTCGCTGTACCCGCGAATACCCGCATTACCACCTTACGTATTGTCCTATATTTCGAATGGTCTTATGGGACAGACTAAAAAATAGTTAGAGATATATAAAAAATAGTTTTTAGATGGAGGAGAGAAACAGCGAGTAAGCGATTTTCAATTCTGTCTAAAAGACGTTTGCATTTGTCGTTAGTTAACGATAATAATTTAAATACTGAATCCGATTGATTGCTTAAAGGTACCTGGTGGACAAACTGAAGGTGGTTAAGGAACGATACCCGGACCTTAGTCACACTGAAGCCTCAAAACAGATTACGGACAAGTGGCACACGCTCAGTGAGACCAAAAAACAACTACTCAAAACTCAGTTCGACCTCGATATGGTGGACTACCAGAAAAAATTGGAGAAGTTCTTCCGCAACTATCCGGACGCCAATCCAAGCAAAAGTGGAAGTTTGGCCGCAGCAATGGCCGCTGTAACGGCGGCGGCAGCAGCACCTGCTCCTGTTGGCAGGCCTAAAACTCCAACGAAATCCGAGCCAAAGGAGCAAGAACCAGTGAAAACGCTTCCATCTATGGATCTTAAAACGTTGGAAGATCGAATTCTTAAGCATGTTAGAGCCACTTTGGAAAAGTTGGCTGCATCAAGCGCACCACTTGCAGAAAAACCACCGAATAATGGATATGCCCTATTCGCTAAAATTTGCCAGGTCGATCTGGAATCATCGAATCTCACCTTTAAAGAAATGATGTCAGAAATGATGAAACGATGGCAATTGTTAACGAAAGATCATCGAAAACAGCTCAGTGAATCGGCCAAAGCGATAAAGGTGGCGCATGATGAAAAATTTGGCCATCTTAACCATAACAAGGTCCATCTCGATAAAGATGGCAAGGTCATAGTGAGTGCTATGCCCATCGAGAGCAAAAAGCCGAAGTGAGTACTATAAGTGTATTATCACTAGGTTTAACTGTATAAAGGCCAACAGTTTGATTTTTCGGAACATCCTGGGCTCCGAACTGCAGTTGGAATGTTTTTGTGGTTACATATTGCCTGTAAATAATTTTTAATCACTAATTTGTCGCCTTGATATGTGAACTTGTTTTCATAAGGCTTCACATTGAACCTGGCTGGACGGATGTCTCGGCCTAACATACACTCTTATCATGATCTCTAGGTGTTCGTTTCTGACTAAACACACACGTGTGCACACGTATCATGTCTAACTATGTACGCTGTTGACAATATTTTCAGAAAAACTATCCAGACTATCCCAGTACCGATAGAGAAGCCACCTGTTGAAAAGGGAGATTTTGCCAACGACGAGATCACCCCGCTGGAGCTGTACAAGAAGGAAAAATTCGCCCGCCTTAAGGAGGATTATCCTGTAAAGCCGGACCATGAGGCAAGTTTTGTCGATGAATACAAGCTACCTAATGATAGTAGAAGCTAAACAGTGTCTCTTGAATTACCAATCATCATTTATCCGACATTCACGTTTTCTGGTACTTCACTTTCCGAGTTTATGACTTGCGTTGTTTCTTTGACATATACTGCATAACTTGTGAGACCGAAGGAAATCATATTCTATTTCGTTTTCTATTACGTGAGGTCCAGTTGTATCGTGTTTTGACAAAGCAATACATGGATTTGGGTCATGAGGACCGTCTCGTGTGGCGTGAACGAGCTAAGATGGTCAATGAAGAGCGTCGAGTGAAAGAGAACTTAAAAAACAAGGAACAGGAAGCGAAAGAAAGGACCAAGAAGCCACAAAGGATACCCAAACGAAAGCCCCTACCTGGAGAACCCAAAAGGCCCCCAATGTGAGTCAATCTCCTTCTATGTGTTACGAGAAGCATCAACCGGTAAAATTATGATACAAGCAAGCCACGCCGTTCGATGCTAGTGATGTTATAATAAAACATTGTTGAACCAAAAGATTTGTGGAGAGACCAGGCTATCTAGTTGATTGTTATCATCCAAGCCAAATAATGGCCAAATAAGTCAATCGTCTATCTTTTTTTGTTTGTAATTTAATTCAGCTTAACACACGTTTGTCCCTTCACAAAATCTGTCTATCGCATCGGTTCCAACCAACATAACTTCATTCTGGCGTTCTTTATGCTTTCATTATATGGCTATATGATTGCACTGATTATTCCAGGAGCGGGTATTCGGTATTCACGAATGAAGTAATGCAGCGCCTACGTGATACAAAACAACCGAAAGTCCTAATTAGCGTCGTGGCAAAGCAGTGGACGGCGCTTCCAATTGAGCAAAAGTCTGAGTATAAAGCTAAAGCGGCCGAGTTGAATAAAGCCTACAAAGAAGAAGTGGCAAACTTCCTCAAAACGCTAGGTCCTGATCAGGTGGCAGACTACAAAGCGCATCTAGAAGCCACAAACAAGCGAAGAGGTCGCCGCAACCAGGAACGATCCGATCGTCGTGGGCTGTCAGAGGATAGCGAGGATGTCGAAGATGAAGTCGTGCTCAGCCGCGATGCCGATGAGGAATCTCAATCCGAGAGCGAAGTCGAGCTCCGACATTCGAGTGCGGCAGATTGCACATCGTCAGAGAACGAAGACGACGAGCAACTGCAACCTGAACCAACATCAATTTCGGTGGGAGCAGCAGCGTCCCCAGCGACGCCGGCATCAGACGGCAGCGGTGATCATTCGAAGAAACGACGTCCGGCTACCGACGAATCGTCCTCTGACGAGGACGAGGGCGAGACAGCAGCTGCTACGCCTCAACCGCCAATGATTCCAATGCCGAGCTTAGACACAGTTGAAAGCCTAACAAAAGAAACTACGATCGAGATAAAGGATAGCAGTAGCTCATCGGATGACGACGCCAGCACCGAAGGAGGCGCTAGTGAGGATGAAGACGATACCAGCGACGAAGATGATGAGGAGGACAGTGACGAGGCCGAAGGCGAAGGCGAAGGAGAAGCGGGCGCCGACGCCGAAGATGGCAAAGAGGTCGAAGCAGATGAAAATGGCGACAGTAATAACCGTGATGCTGATCGAAACGATAATGACGACAATCAAGATCATCCTGACGCTGGTAACAACAACAGTAGCAATAAAAATGAAGACGAGGAAAATGGAGACGACGACGACACCGACGACTCAAGCGACGATGATGACTCGTCGAGTGACGACTCCACCTGAGTTCAGAGCAAATAGCAGTTGTTAAGTATTATTGAAACTTCTACCATGTAAAGCTATTTAGTACGTATCGCTACGATGAACGCACAGAACAGCACGTGTGTCACTGCTCGGGCTGCTATGGATTGTGGACCGTGGCTGTACGTTGATTAGGCACATAGAGAAAACCGGTTCCAACGGCCTTACATTTCATAAACTATGTAAAGCCGTTGCTCCGGATTGTGTACAACCATTACTACGACATTATTCGGTTGTTATCGTTGTTGTTGTTGAAAAATACGTGTATTTGTTCGGCGAAGCCTACGATTTATCGTTTAACTGCTACCAGGCTGCTTACTGCGATTACTGAACTGATCAGTTAATGTTATATGATTGTTGATCTATAGTATTGTTAAGCTGAGCGTCAACTAGCGCGATAAGATTATTATTATAGTAGACGTTAAAATGATTAGCACATGGCACAGGCGTTCGAATACATCAGGTGAATGAATGATGGATACATTATGGGAATAACAGGCTACGACGCTTAATCCCGCTAGATTTGACTTGATCCTGACGTTCGAAGAACCTACTGTTATTATTATTATTAGCTGACTGTCGCAGCCGGAGTCGCAACTTGCCGGCAACTCAGTCATAAGAACCTACGATATGTGCGCAATTAGAATGGACATGGCTCGATATGATAGGGATCGTATCACCACTAACTTCAGGTCGACTTATCATTGATTTTCCAGTTTTTTTCCCCAATATCTCCGAATTTATTTATATCGACTAAACAATAGGTGTATCGCCCAGACTCCATGCACATGTGATAGCAAACTGTAGACGCCTGTGGAAGCGTTATCGCGATTGGCGAAGTGTAAATACGCTAACATATGTTTAGAATGTAAGACGAGGTACGGGTAGTGAATGCGGTGAGGTCAAAATACGTAAAATACCCTAGTCTACTCGAGAGCTGTTGCCGTAATTAAAGGTGACGCGTAATGCTTAACAGCGGAGAACGGGTAATGGGCTAAGCCTCATTGTTGTCTATTGAATGAGGCTCCTATTATATTTCTCAACCCCCAAAACTATTCCGAGTGCTCAACGAATTATGTCAGTCAAGAGTATGGAAAAATAAGAGGCAATGTTGGCTCTTAAGTGCTTATATTACCCTATAATTTGCCTCAGTTGTGTTGTGTAGTACTTATAAGCGGTGCGCAGTCACCTTCCAGTAGCCCCCGGTGGGCCCAGTTGAGTTTCTAGATTTTTTCATTTTGTTATATATTTTCTGTGCGCGAAAGAGAGAGAGACCCTATTAGAGTCGATGGTGATTCGTGTTCACTTACATATACAGTGTCAACTGTATTTGAAACAAATAAAAAGAAGCGTGTTATTACTATGTTACAAACATATCGAGTTAAATGGAATCTTTAATTTACCGTACGTACATGCATATGTCTCGCTCAGATTTAATTGTAAAAATGTGGAAATAAAGTCAAAATTACCTATAACTCGTTCATAAAAATCATATAATGACGATTTTTATGAAAATCCGCTATTTGCTTCACTGTGCAAATATATTAGTTCGGTTTTATTCTCTATTCGTATCGCTTGTTTAATGTTTTGCTAATAACAAGCAGCAGATGGTACTTTGTGTGAGGCCGTGGCCTTTGGACTACCTCAGTGATTCATCCGATTCCTCAAATAGCGTATGCAGAGCTTCTGGTTGGTTAAGAAAAAAACGTGCGTGCACTCCGATGCAGGAAGCTCTGAACGTCACCTCTGAAAAGGCTTGAGTCTTGTCATCATCAAGCCATGGCAGGGCTACGGTTCCCGCAGACTCTTTCGCGTAGACCTCAAAGCTACCCTTGTCCGGCAAATTCATCGGTCTCTCCGAAAATTAGGAAAGGGCTACATCTTTCATACAAAAGTGTGGTTTGAGCTTTTTCAACAATTTCAAATTACTCCATCTTTGTGAAAAAAATTTAAGAATACGTAGTCTCTAGTAGAGATACGCTGTCTACTTCGATTAATCTTCTCTCCGAACGTTTTTCCTTCGTGTTGTGGTCAAGTAGATAAAATTCCAGTGAAATTACAAAATACAACTAAAACATATACCCCAGCCACAACGTGAATTGCTAAAAACGTAGAAATTTCTAGGCGTATCCCTCACATTATTGACTAAGACCAACGCTATTAGATGCTTTTATTCGTTTAGTCCACGCAAATTCTATCAATCGCTAGCGATCGCAGGCCTACGGTTTGTTTAAACGGAAAATCGACAATACGTCAAAGGAAACTCTCTGAGCATGAATATGTACTAAGCTGGCATATAGACGGCCATCCTCAACCCCATACGATATCCAAACAAAAGGGCATACAATCTTATAGACGGCAGCCTCTACGGACTTTGAAAAACTCTACGTTCGGGCATCTACTTGTTTGCTTTCTTTACAGAAAAATTTCCAAGGGATCGTATGAGAATCTGTAACTGGGATGGGATCGAAGCAAGATCCTATTTAGGTCTACTGAGTTATATTTTACGAAATATTTCTAGTAGCTACTACTTACCGAGTCGAGTTTATCTCCTGATAAAGCAACTCCGAATGTCTTCACTAATATGAATGGAAAAGATATTTGCAATGAAAAGCGTCCCATGTAGAATTTACTAGTTTGTTCCGCAATTTTTAATCCAAAAAACACCGTATATTTTCTACTGTACATTTATCAGAAACATGAAGGAAAATAAATAAAACCTTTTTTCAACAGTAGAGATTATTGGTACTATTTATTTTCAAGACTCATAGAGGTCATAACAAAAAAACGGCATACAAAAGCATCTGATCTGTCTCAAAATAGTATGCTTTAAACAAAAAAAAAAGATGTATAATGCTAAACGTATTTATAATAAATTCGTTGTTTTATTGACAAATCTAATTTCCACACTGTATCATGGCTTTGTAAGAGTAGACATCGATAAGAGCTTAGAGCTACGCCAACGTTATAGAATTTAACCCTGTACCATGTTTACGCTAAGCGCTGAATCTGGTATGCTTTTTGAAATCAAATATAACGTTTGCTGGATCTTGCCTTTGTATTTATCGAATTTCATTTAACGGTAGGTTCCTTCCGTAACTCATCGTGAAGTGTATGTTAACCTTAGTTTAAAGGCTAACATACGCTGCAGCATTTTCAGCGTCGACAAACGACAAAGTAGAGATGTGTACATAATCCAACTTCGAAGCTCCTTGTGCATAAAAAAGTTCCGAGTACCATTCAGTCAGCTAACTTCATGACCCACGTTGATCAAAGACTTCCTTGGGTTGAATCCGTCGCTTTCCGTCGCCGAAATTAATTGAATCCGGTGATTGCACGGAGATACGAACCTGCGGTATTGCGTCGTACATGAATAACCTATTTCATCTATGCCGTGCAAAGGACGTTGGGTGTTGGAAAAAATAGTTCCGGCGCCCATATTTGTGTGTGTGTGTGTGTGTGAATGTTAAGCTCTGTCACGCTAATTTTTGTCAACTGGCATGATAGAATTCTCAATAATTTACATATGCGCTACGCAGTTGCTCAGGTGTTTGCTATTAAACAAAGGTGAACGCTCTGCGGCATATCCTTCGCATTGGTTTCAACATAGTTTGTAGGGCTCATATTTGCTGAGTTCTTGTCGCTGATTCGGATGAGGCGTGCCTGAGACGTCCCACTTGGCCCATTTGCTTTGAGCACTGCTCACCATCTCAAAGCCTGCTATCGTATAAGGTTAGCCAGACGTGTGCTACTGATTCCAAGCTAGCAGCGCGAATCATACTCTGTGAATACAAAGAAGATCGTCATCCGGAAATTCGATGGCCTTGTCTGTCAAATGTGGCAAAATTTACGATCAGCGTCGACAACAGGTTGGATACGATACTCGTGCTTGAAAGCTCCATAAAACCGCAGATATGATTTTGGTAACGCAAGATCACACATGCGGCAGGATTCCTTCAAATGTGGACATACAGAGTTTTACCTGGAACTATACGTCATACGTTTGTTGATCATCAATATTTACCAACACTCGTCATAGGTTTTTAAATATTCTGTAATAGAAAAAGCATTTTGTCGATGACAACGAAAGGATTTCGAACGCTGCATTGTTCAGCTTCAAGCATTAATTAATACTTGATGCCTGACAGTTCTTTCAGTGAACGTATATAAGGGAACTCACGTTCATCATCATGCCTGAATAGCAATAAAAAGACAACTTTTTATTATATTTATTTATTTTTATATATTTATTATAAAAAGACAATAAATAGTCTAAAACGAGACAACGCTTTCGATGGTTCTGTCAAGTCAGCAAGGAATCAGTCTACGTATGTAATATGTTTTACTCTGAGCAACTGCGCCCGTGACCAAAATGTTGTTCACAGCGCATGAGATATAATAGACACGTGCGTATTCTATACTTTTTGCTATGTGCCTTCGTTGCCACGGGCTTTTTCTGTGTAACGGATCGCAGTGCGTAACTTTGTCCACCGTAACGGAAGCTGTAAACAGTCACAAGTCTGGCCTGTTTCTAGCTGATCGCGTCCAGCCTGGACGCGATTGTTTGTCTAATTAGTAGCTACCTAAAAGGCCTTTTCCGAGTTCGTGGCCTCAAGGCTTGCAACGGTCTATTTTAGTAGCCAGCTCGCCGCATGCAAGCAAGAGGCAAGGCGATTTTCGATAAGTTCGAAAACGTTTGTTTATAACAGCTAGTTTAGCACCTAGAATTGAGGAGGACGCAACCCTATGACATTATTTCCAAAAAGGGATGTTTTTCGTATTTTATAGCCGTATGTGGACTTTCCTTATTTAAGTTGTCCAAAAAAGTTGAACGGTCAAATACGCTTGACACACATGCAGCGGTTAAGGATACTGTTCATCTATAGTGTACTTACCATAAATAATTTACTACACGTTGAAATGCCTGTTAAGCACAAATATTAAGCTCGTGGTAACGAACTGTTACCATTATTTCAAGGTCCAGACTTTGCACGTATATCTATAAGGTGAGATTCCGTACTCAACATAAACTCCAGCTGCTCGTAACATTCGGCGGGGGGCAACATAGGCCAGTTTTGTCGCATACTATCTCTCAATATATTCTCATAATGTAGATTACCTAGCACACCATTCAGAATAGGCCGCAAGCAACTAGCTCGAGGTTAGCCGTGTTATAACCATGACGGATGACCGCGGAACTCAGCGACAGCATTGGAGTGAGTTATTCGAATTGGGGGCTGTATGGGACGGTCTAATATACTAATCTGACGTTTAGGTTGGTATGACTTTTAAAGACAGAACTTGAGAAAGGTTGTCATCGATTAGAGAACCTCGGCCCTACTCGCTTTACTATTGTCGCCCCTTTTGCACATAAACCATGCAAATGTCCAGAGTGAGATTCAGGTTTTGGCGTACATACCATGTACGCAGACAGGTCCACAATCCAGCAAATTTCATGGAAACCATCACAAAATAGCGCACCGTCCAAGGTTAACAGTAAATAACTACAAAAACATCATATTGTTAAAAGACAATTTGCGACCTGTTTATGTGAATGTTAAAAAAATAAAATTACGCAGCCAAATTGTTATCTACTTACTTCTACCTTGAGAAATTTATAGATATTACTTAAGTTATGTGGTTAATCAGATCGAGCACTTTTCCCGCCTAAATTTGAAAACAAGCTGCTCACACTCTAGCTATTTGATACTTCGAAATATGATTATTTGTCAGTGGTTTAGTCATAGAATCAACGAAATCAAGATGATCCGTACTTGAAATAGTAAAAAAGACAACGTATATGATGAGTTTTCGTGCAGAACAGCTCGAATTTTCTTCAACTGATATTAGTAAAATCGTTTCTTACTGCTAAAACTACTAGTAAATCCGACCTGTATTTTCAGGCCGAGTTTCAGGCCGTCCCCTATCCAAATACATTTCATGTGTTCGTGTCAAGATCAGTTTCAATGTATGCCATAATAGCAGTATACATTTAAACAGACTTGAATCAATAATACAAAATGTCGTACACTTGCTGTCTATTGAATCAACGTTTAAATAGCTTCTTTCTCAACCCTTTCGGAAATATTTTCACAGACTTCAAAGGCATCTAACATATATAGAAATTGACAGAACGATCTAACATAAAAATCATAGTACATATTACGTATGAATATAAATTTTGGAACACTAACATTACGGAAGCTCTTTTGTTTTTAAGCTATTGGGTAAAATACCGCATAGAAATTTACTCTTAGATTATTAGTGAATGGACGAAAAGTCCCAGTTGTTAGTGGCGTCTCACTGAGGTCGCTGAACGGTATTCTACGGAGGAAGACGATGCTAAAAAAGGCAAAAAAGTTACCAAGGCGTAGCGACAAGTGGCGTAGAAAAAAACACGGTTCGTTGAAGCAGCCTTCCGTCTTTCCGTTCCCGCTCGGACAACGACACGAAGAACACCGTTCTTGGTCCTACGTAAATTTGACTTGCTAATAATGTAGTACTGCTGCAACGCGTCACACGATGCAATCGTAGCACCGTCACCCTTCTGTTCATACCGGTAGAATGAAAAACTGAGAAAGGGAAAGGACCAGCGCATAGGGTTGATTTTGCTAAATATCAAATTCTACTATTCTGCCACGGGCAGAATGGCAGTGGAGGGTGGTGATACTTTCCACTGAAAGCAAGACGTATCGATAAATGAATACGAATAGCTTAAGCTGTGGTATAAGTATCTACTACCCGAAGGTATATTAATGTTCAATGATGAGGTCAGCTAGTTCACTGAAAGGGCCTAGATAACGGCATTCAATTTAGAGTTAGAAATAGCTGATTGAGCAGTAATTTAGTATGAACTCAGTTTACTGAATGCGTTTGAGGTGACACAACCTACAAAACTGTTCGTAACAACAGCCTTTTACTGAATACGACCCCCTGGCAGTTTTCGTTGCTTCAAGCTGATACCCGACACAAAAGCGGGACGGCGACAATGTCACCTTTCAGTATGCGCAAAGTTGGCCGCTTCTAATAGTTTGATCTTGTAGTTTGCCTCTGCATGTATCACATCTCCACACAGGATACCTGCTGACGTCTGCATATCAGCGTTGTTTCCGTGAAAGACTGTTCTCCTTGGGACGATTATTATCATGCCCAAAAGCAATTAAGTTGCATGCTGGGCCAGTGCACAGTCGATTCAATTTAATTAAAGATGGCCGCGGGGAGAATACCTAAGAGATTCATGTCCTCAGTTAGGAATTCCCAAAAAAAGGTATGGCAAGAATTGTACTGCTCGTACCGACGATACTATGCAGGCGAGTCCACAGCAAACACACATAATTAAACGAGCTTATTACTT